AACATTGTCAAAAGCACCGACAACGTCAAGGAATACCACCGCACAATCTTTTTTCATAATCTTTGCATCTTTCAATACAGCGTCGATAATCCTTGCGTTGACGTGCGTTCCCGGGAGGCCTTTTATAAAACCTCTCTGATTCCTGTGGAAGGTGACCTGCTTTCTTAGTTCATGGTCCAGAACCTTCTCTATGATTCGGCGCACAATAGAATAAATGGTGATGGGCCTCCAGGAAGGGATTTTATTTACATCACCTTTCCCCTTATATATTAGTATTGTGCGCCCCTGTCGAAGTGGTTCTGGGACATAGGCCACCTTCAGCATTATCTCCGCAATTACTCTGATAATATTTGATACATCAAAATATTTAATCGTGCGGATCAGAACTCCATCAGGCCCCGGCGATGTGTCCATTGATGTTGATTTAATGGCTCTCTTGACGGCTTCTAGATCAATGGACACCAAATTTGGCATCGGGGCGCACTGTTCGTAATCCGCACGCTTGCGGAGATTTTCGCTCTCAAAGAGGTCTCTATAATGTTTTTCGATATCGGCCATCTTCAGAGGACACCGCTTAGGAGCGTCGGCATTCATTACGGTTTGCACGACCTTTTTCCTTTTATTATAATAATTATATTGTGCAACCTCATATTGATACTGTTCTTGCCGACGACTCCTGTCTACTTTGTTCGCTCTTTGCGGATTTGAGACTTGTCCAGCACCCTTGTCAGTTACTTTAGTTTTATTTTTTTTCCTCAATCTGTAAAATTTGACGGCTTTGACCTGGCAGTTCCGCATTGATATTCTTGAGAAATTTCAGGAACCTGCCTACGGCCTCATCAAAATCCGCAATATTTATCGTGCTTTCTTTTGAGAGGTTCTTGAACACAGTAGACCATCCGATAATGTCCTCTTTTATTTTTGATACCTCACCCTCTCCATTTTTAGGCCCTAAAACATTTTTCACTATGCCCCTCAGTGTATTGGTATTAGCCTCCCTGGGGTGCTTCTTGGCAATATGGGTTCCTAGACCTCTTTCACCCTTAAAAGAAAGCCCACATATGGGACAAACTTTATTATTAGGGCGTAGAACTTCTTTCTCCTGCTCTCTGTTCGCTTCCTCGACATTCTGTGGAACATTTGGCAATGCTGGGAAGACATCATCTATCGAAACTGTCTTTCCCAATAGTACACCTTCTGTGTCTGGCCATTCGACTTTTACTAATTTCTTTTCGCCGCCCTCCGCGGCATCCACAGACATCACAGAGGCAACAACAGCCTCCTGAGCAGGTCCTCCAGTTCTCAGAACCCATACCTTCTGGCCAATCTCGACTTCATTCATTGTCCTTAGGTCCACTCAAAATCCAATATCCCCCCTAGAGACCATGCGTACTACACGCTTGGTTAAAACAAACCATCTAAAGGAGAGTGGACCCGTATACAAATAAATAAAAACTAAACGGGAGAGACATGCATATATGCCAACATACACACATAAATATCAGATTAATAATATAAAATGCTTAAAAGTAGTTAAAATGTAAAATAAATAGAGCCCAAGTTAAAAAAGTTAATCAATAAGTTAAAATCTATCTTAAAACTAAGCTAAAATATAAAATGAAATTAAAATCTATAGACTCTATTGCTTAAAATTAAGTTTAAATATATAAAATAAATTATGGTAAAATGTTAAAATCTATAAAATCAATTTATTAAAAATAAGTCACAATATAAAATCAATAGAGCCCAAGTTAAAAAGGTTAATCAATAAGTTAAAATCTATCTTAAAACTAAGCTAAAATATAAAATGAAATTAAAATCTGTAGACTCTATTGCTTAAAACTAAGTTAAAATATTTAAAATAAATTATGGTAAAAAGTTAAAATCTATAAAATCAATTTATTAAAAACAAATTGAAATCTACAATTAATATAATATGAGTTGATCAATAATGGATTAATAAATAAGTTAACAAGTAAAAACAAATTAAAATATACAATTAATAAAATCTAGGTTAAATAGTAATGTATTAATAAATAAGTTAATGAATAAAAACAAATTAAATATATAAAATATATTGTTAAAAATTAAATAAACACACCCACGTCCACTTAATAAATAATAAATAAAATTGAATAAATAGATCAATTGATAAAGCTAAATACTAATTCTTTTAAATAATAATTCATTAATTTCAATAATCTAGCTTTCCTGTGATCAGTTTTTTTTAAATAAGAGAGGAGAGAAAAAAAAAATGATAACAACAAAATAGGTTGGGCTCTTTCGGTGACAGCTGTTGGTATTGATAAGACGCCACTGACCTTGCTGGATGGAGGCGGCCGCTGTGAGGTGGAGGGGGCCGACAAGTCCTATTCTGCACAGCGATAAGGACCCCGGTCCCACAGGCACGTTGAGTTCTTTACCTCCTGGTCCTGGCGAAGTTCTTTGCTTGATTTTTTCGAAATTCAAGCAGCAGGTCTCCAGCATACGTCTTCGGTCACATGTCAAGTTTTGGCTCAATTGGGCGAATAAAACTCTATCAAAAAGGACACCGCCGTGGAGCCGATGTGTCTTAATCACCGGCTAGAGCCGAACTCGAATCCAGTAAAGGGACCTTGGCAGTTGTTCGATGTAGTTGGTTTTGATTTGCCGTTTTGTATGCCATTTCATTTCCTGATATTCCTACGTGTCCCGGTACCCACTGGAAAAAGTAATTGTTCTTGGCGTTGTATAGTTGTGATATGATTTTAAAGGAAATGTGTGTCAGTGCTTTATTTTGATAGATTAATTTTAGGTGTTTACATGCAGTTGCTGAGTCTGTCGGAATAACTATTTTTTGGTTGATGTGTGCGTTTTCGCTGTATGTTATGGCGTTAAGAATGGCATATAGTTTGGCGCTGAAAATACTGAAATCAATTGGTATTGATAATGAAAATTTCTGGTTCTTTTGGGATCATACACAGCTGTAGACGTTCGGTTACTTGTTTTTGATACGTCAATACATGAGAATGTATTTTTTCGTTATGCACGACCTTCTGATGTGTAATGGCATCTCTCCGGCTGAGGCCTGCTGCGCGTTTACTGGAGAAGTTTTAAAAGCACCCAAACATAACCTTATGGCACAGTTTTGTATTGTATTCAACTTATTAATGAGGGAGGATTTATTTTCATTGTATACTACACAGCAATAATCAAAATTAGACCTTACTATTGTTTTGTAGAGAGTAAGCATGTTTTGTGGGTGAGAACTCTACGATACTCCAGCTAAAGATTTTAATATGTTCAAGTTTTGCAGCGACTGTGTATGAATATCTTTTATATGAGTTTTGAAATTTAATTTAGTGTCTAATGTTATGCCTAAAAACATTAAGTGTTCTTCACTTTTAACTCTGTATTTTTCATTTGAAATCTCAAAATCTTTGAAGTTAATCTTTCTTTTTCTATTAAAAGGAGTAATGCTACACTTGTTAGTATTAATTTTTAGGTCTATTATTGAAAATGCTTGTGTTAGGTTGTCCAGTGCTGAGCTGATAATGTCTTTCCCTTCTTCTGTAGATTTCGCTACAGTATAAACTAAAAAGTCGTCTGCAAATTGGATGATTTTACACTTGTCTATTGTATAGTTGGTGATGTGTTCAGTGTAAAGATTGAAGAGGGTTGGACTCAAAGTATCTCCCTGAGAGAGACCATTGTAGGTTTCAAAAGATACTCTAGCTTCCTAAGTATCCAGAAAATATGTCCGATGTGTTAAGTAATTTATTATCCAGTGAGTTAGTTTCGTAGGTTTAGATTTTTTAATTTATAAAGCTAGGTTTGTATTTTTACATTGTCATATGCTGTCTATTGTTAATGCCACAAAGATCTTTCTTTCTCTGAAAGCTTTGTAGATATCATTGATTAGAATCAAGATTGCATCAGTGGTTGACTTGTTTTTTCTAAAACCAAAACAGAGAGGACTCAAGATATTTGTTGATTCTATAAACCATTCTAATCTCGTTTTGACAATTTTGTTGAACACTTTTGCTAAGCATGAGATGAGAGCAATAGGGCGGTATGAGGTGATCTGAAGTGCATCTTTACCACGCTTTAATATTGGGAATATGAGTATATTTCGCCAGTCGGGAGGAACCTTGGCATCCTCCCAAATTTGATTTTAAGCAAAAAGCAATCTCTGTTTCATCGAGGCCGGTAAGAGTTTGATCATTTGGTAATTGATTTCGTCCATATTGGGGGGGGATTCAAATTTCCCTTTCAATGCCGCTTTCAGCTCTGTTAATTGAAAGGGTGAATCTAAATGTTGGCCAATATGTACATTTGAACCGCGAAGGGTTGTTTGAACACAAAGATGTTCGAGGATTGTACGAGAAATCTTATTGCATGTGTTCGGTTAATTAACACCATATTTTGCAGGTTAATTCGCTTTCCACGTAAGATTTTAATTTTGTTCCATATAGAGCCGGTGGTTTGTTTTGGGTTGATGCTTTCGATGTAGTTTCTCCAAGTCTTCCTTTTGGCCTTTTTAATAAGCGTTTAGTCTTATTTATTTTCGTTCTCATGATTTTGTGGTTTTCTATTGTCACATTCTTTAAGTAGTCTTTTATTGCTATCTTGTTTTCCCCATACGACCTGCGAATGTCTTCATTTCACCAGCACTTCGGGATAAATTTTGGATGGTATTCCGAACACTTCCGAGGAATAGCTGATTCTCCTGCTTGATTAATGACGTTAGTCAAGTCTGATATATTGTATTTTATATTAGGTTTCTCCATTTCCAGGAGGTAATTTGTAAATATTTTTTCATTTAATCTTTTGAAATTTCTTTTACAATTGAATTTGTGTTTCCTCTGGATTCTGCAGTCGTTTACTTCGATTATTATTTGTAAATGGTCACTCCCTAGCGTTTCTGGAATTACAACCCAGGTAAGTATCTATAACGGAAGGTCTTGATAGTTGCCTAATTTAGTGATTATTCCTGTTTCATTTAATAGGATTAGCGGACTGTTTTGTAATGCCAAAATTAAGTAATCTTCCTCTGGGAGTATCATATTCTTGAGCACCAAAAAATGAGGAGTGCTTGTTAAAATTCCCTCCTAAGAGCACACCACAATTTGGAAATTTGACGTGCAGATCAAAAAGATTTTCGAGGTTTCGAAGTGAAGACCGCCTTCTGTTGTCTGGTGGGATATATACTGAAACTATGATTAAGAAGTTTTATCCCTAATTGTTCCCAGATTTGGTAAGTCTATGATTTCATAAAGTAACGAAGTATGGAGAAAGATGCCCACTCCTCCGCGTCTATCTCGTCTATTACTTTTTATCATGTTACTCATAGGTCCGTGCGAAAAATTCGCACAGAATATTGTTTTCAAATGCCAAATTGATAAGAAAAGGAAACAATGCAACGTATCAAAAGATAAAGAAATCAATTGTTACTTTATCGATAAATATAATAAACAAAGGAAACAACAATTAATTTAAATTTTCATTAATGTTTGGAACCAACATGTTTACAAATTTCAATAAGCTGTATCTTTGCTAAAAATTGTCCGATCTCGATGATTTTTTTTTTCCTTTTGCAGATAATTAAGTAATCTTTCATATAACCATGGGCATAACCAAGGGAAAAGTGTGTAATTTTTTAGTTATTCGCAAATAAAGTTTGTTTTCTTTCATAACACTTTTTGCCTGAATTTTTGGGGTGATTGGACTATTTTGCCCTGCTGAAGGAGAAGGAAGCCTTCGAAATTGGTGGCTCAATCTTGAGATTTGGTAAAGAATTAACGATGATATGGCTTGCCGATCAAAAACACCATGGATAAATAATATAAACTCCTCCTTTCTCGATCATAGAGGCCTCAAGTCGACGAAATGAGACATGTATTCAATAGCAGTACTACAATTAACGAAAGGTTGTATGGATGCGAACCCTATGCCTTGCGTTATCTCGAAAATAGTACGTTTTTGGGCTTAAAAACGGAGGATCCGATAGTTTCGGAGGAACTACCCGGCTGTTGCTGTACGCATCAAAATCTTCAAGGTCCAATTTGTCCCGTATCAATCTACAGACCTACCACCGTTCCTGTATTGAAGCCTAGCAAAATGTTTATATCGACTTTATTTATTTTAGAAAGAAAAACAAAGGTGGAGAATACGATTAACTAACCCCCCGTGAAATTCTGAATCCAACGTTACCTCATTCCTGGTATTTGAGCATGACAGGAGCTTATATTTGGTACATAACCGATTTCGAGCCCTACTGTAATAATATATGTGGGGATGGGGATAATTTTGTGCACGGTAAACCGTTTATTATCAAACCATGTTTCCTGTAGTATATCTATAAGGATGTTGTTTATATTAAGATAATTTATAATTTCAGAGAATTTTTTATTTATACTTCGACTAATTATGTTGAAGAATTTTTATGTTTTTATCTATCATATTAATTCTACTGTTTGACATTGTAAGAAGTTAAATTAAGATAGCATGCCGTCTTTTTTTTATTATTAGTAGAGCTATTGAAATCATTTCAGGAATAAGTATCGCAAAAACGATATCATGCTGTAGATTGTAGTGAAATCGTGTATTTCTCTACGATGTGGATATTCATGTCAAAATAATAGGAAAAACCAACTAAAAAAATAAAGTTTTTTTTTAAATTTATTTATATGATATTTACAACTGTATACAAAAAAAAAGTCTGGTAAATTCGCACATGGATATAAAGACATGAAACACATGTTGAGAAACTACCCATTGGTAGCACTCTAATAATATGTCTATATTAGGAGATCACCTGGCCATCTTCTTTTCAGACGCCTCGGAGGATTATCAGGAATTGAATAGGAAGCAAGGTTAGAAACAAGAGGGTTGGAATGGTTATGAAGTTTATTATGGAAGGACAGATATCTGGATTGGACCAAATCTGATACATAAGGAACATTAAGATCATTATGGATGATTTTATTTGTAACAAAGTAAGGAGCATTGAGGATTTTACGAAGGATTTTGGATTGTAAGGATTGGATGCGAGAGGAATTTGAAGGTTTTGTGGAGCCCCATAGCTCAACTCCGTAAGTCCAAATAGGCCTTATTATAGTCATGCAAATTAGTCTTTTATAGTTAATTGGAAGGTTAGAGCGTTTGTCTAGTAAGTGTTGAAGTAGTCGGAAACGTCGAGCTGTTTCTTGTCGTTTCAGTCTGGTATGAGGATTACAAGTTAGACGTTTGTCCAGATGGAGTCCTAGGTAACGGATTTGTTCAACAGGAATAAGTGAGATGTTGTTAAAGGATACTGAAGGACAGGAAGTCATTGGTTTACGACGAAGGGTGAAGGTAATTTGATGGGATTTATTGGAATTTATTTTAATTCTCCAGTTCTGACACCATTCTTCAAGATTTATGATGTGGGATTGAAGGGTTTGGGATGCTATAGATGGGTCGTTATTAACTGATAGGATACATGTGTCATCAGCATATGTGGTGATGACAGTGTTGGGATATCAGCTGTATAAACTGAGTAAAGGATAGGACCTAGGATACTACCTTGAGGAACACCTGCAGACTGGGAAAAGCGGGATATATAGACATTGTTGTGATTTACTTTAAAGTATCTATCAGTAAGGTAGGAACTTATAATGAGAAAGTATGTAGATGGTTGGAATTTTCGGAGTTTGTACAGCAGTCCCGGGTGCCAAACTCTATCAAATGCCTGTTCAACGTCGAGAAAGACTCCCGTACAGTACATACCGCGCTCCAATGCAGAGGATACTACGTCTACCACACGATGGCATTGCTGTATAGTGGAATGGGATGAGCAGAATCCAAATTGGTGATCTGGGATTATTTGATTATAATTTAGGATGGGGTACAGGCGTTTTAAGATTAGTTTTTCCAGGATTTTTCCCATGATGGATAAAAGAGAGATGGGACGGTAAGAGGATGGATATTCTGATGGCTTTTTGGGTTTGTGAATCATTTTGACAATAGCTATTTTCCAAGGATCCAAGGAAATATGTGGATCGGAGGACAGCATTATATATGAAAGTAATGAATAGGATGGCTTTTCGAGGAAGAAGTTTCAAGATCTGGGATGTTATTAGGTCATGTCCAGGAGCTTTGCGGGAGGGTAATCTGTGAATGATGTTGGATATTTTTGTGTGATGAAATGCTTTAGGTGGAAGGGACATTTGGAGAGGAGTATCCAGTTCTGATTCAATACATTCGATGTGGGTTGGATTAAGGATATCAGAATGTGGGTTGAAAATTTGGAACAGATGTTGACCGAATAATTGGGCTTTTTCTTCGTCGGATTTGGACCAGGTTTGGGATTCAGTAAGAAGTGGGTGATTAAAGTCTTTAAACTTCAGAAGTTTTTTGGTAGCCGTCCATAGTGATTTGTCAGTTGTTGTAATATTTTCAGTTAGGTTCAGTAATTGTTGAGTTTTATATTTTCTGATTTTAGTTTGTTAGTTAATTCGGTATAGTACGTTTTGTCTGAAGGATATCTAGTCCTATGCCACTTCGATCTTGCTCTGCGATTATCCCTTAATAAGATTCGAATATGCTGTGGCAAGTTAATATGTCTTGAATTATTGCTTTTATTATTAACAAATGTGTTATTATTTATACTCGTTGTTATAGTTGTAGTAAGATTTTCTATTGATTTATCAATATCTTGTTTTGTCTTAAGGGGAATTTTTAAGTCCAGTTCAACTTCCAGATCACCACGAAATTTGTCCCAGTCTACTCGTCCTGTAATCAGTTTAGGAGGTGAAGGTTTAGGAGCAAAGTTCGAATGTAGTAAAAGCAAAACTGGACTATGATCTGACGAAAGGTCATCGAGGGATTTGATAATGGATTGGGAGGAGGAAATCTGGGAGGTGATAAATATGTCCAGGTTTCGGGACGTTTTTTCAGAGATATAGGCCAATATGTAGGAATTTATGGGCGAGAGGATTGAATAACTGTTGGAAGAAGAGACACGTGATAGGATGCTACCGCGGGAATTGGATGTTCGACAACCCCATCGTTGGTGTTTAGCATTGTAGTATCCTCCAGCAATAAAAGAGATTGAAATAAGGATTCAAGTAGGCTATAAGAGAGGGAATTACCAGGAGGACAGTATACAGCTGAAAGAGTTAGATGGAAAAGACGAGTTGAAAGGATTACAGAAGTTGATTGAATGGCATCAGTTGGAGTAGAAGCGATAAGGGAATGCGATAAAGATTTATGTATAAGAATACAAGAGCCAGCGTGGGAAGTGTTGTCTGGATGGTCAGACCTATAAGTGATGTAGTCACGTATGTAACTACGTGTCCGTTGAGTGAAGTGAGTTTCTGTCAGGAGAGCAATGTCAATATAATTGTCATGGAGAAATATGTCTAGTTAGTCACGGTGGTTTTGTAGTCCGTTAGCGTTTCATAAAAGGATAGCTAGGGGCTTTGTATTCATCGGAAGTTAAACGGAATTTCGGAAAGGAGTCTTGTGAGAAGATCTATCAGGAATGATGAAAGGATAGAGTTGATGTCGGATGATGTTTGGCTTGGATGTGGATTTATGTCGTGAGGTTGTGATGAGTAATCTATGGGACTAGGATTGTTGGGTGGGGGATGGGTCCGACGTGAGATACGAGGAGTAGGATCTAAATTCTGTTGGACTTGTGATGGGAGGTTCATCTTGGGAGTAGGAACGAGTGGAGCTGGGTGTGGGTGCTCTGCCGGGAGTTTGACCCTTAAGGGTAGCTGATGAGGAGGGATTTGCTGACGAGGCTGTTGAGGTTGAGTATTAGAGCTTTTGGGCTTGGATTGGGAGGTTTGAGGCGCCTGACTTTGAGGCTGCTTCTTAATGATGGAAGGCTGACATTGAGAATTTCTTGAATTCTGATGAGGATAATCCTTAAGTGTAGAGATGGATGGTTGGAGTTGGACGGCGATGGAAGGTGAAGTCGGCAAAGCTGGGAAAGTTTCTTGATTTTCAATTTCAGGTGGCTCAGGACAAATTTTTTGAGTAGGTCCAAGGGTTTTCGTCGATAAGTTGCGTGATCTCTGTTTGGGAAGATTTTTATATACCTCACAACCTCTATGGCTTGCAGGGTGGGCTTCACCACAAAGAGCACATGTCGCGGGCTCATCTCTTGGCTTCTGCCAAGTGCCTAAAGCGTGAAGACCGGCGCATTTAACACATCTGGCCTCGTGTCGGCAATAGGCCTTCGTATGCCCTAAGTGTTGACACTATAAAGATATTAACATAATTTACAAATATAACATTTATAAATTCTTGTAAAGTTATCATTGAGTTCAAAATAGATTGTATCACCTGTAGTGATAGGAGAAAACTGAAATATTGATATACATGTTTAAAAACCATGCTTGGAATATAATTGTATAAATATTTATATTTATTTGTTAGATTCTAGATAAAATAAGCTGAAATATCCCAGATCCTTGGATTGGTGCTTATTCAACAAACATGTCAACAGTTGTTTGTAACTCAGTAATAGATTTTAATATCGAATTGTTTTCCTGGACAAAATTGTAAATGGTTTGTCCTATTATATTCAATGTTTCCTGTTCGTTTTTAATTGTTTTAATTTTATTTATTAATGAACTCTATGAGGATTATCTGGATTGGAGGGGAGGTTATTATTGGTGTTTTACGGGGAGGCTCCACAGAGTTCGTGTTTTGAAAATCTATTCGGTTGTCGTTCAGCTTCTGACGTTTTAAATTGTCTTTATTATATTTTAACAAATATTTTTTTCCTGGGTTTCTTTTAATAGCTGTGTTGTAGTGGTAAGAACTATTTTCGGCAAAGTCATTATTCACCGATAATTGAGGAAAATCTATAGGTTGAGACCTAGTATTGAGAGAGTGGATAGAGGAGCGCAGAGTAAGGAGTTCCAGGATGTAGGGAGGGTTTTTAGTTCTGAAGACTTGGAAAAGGAAAACGCCAAGAAGGAATTGTCGTCGGGAAGTAGGATAAAGCCACTTCAACTCGGTGTGCCATAGTGAAACATGTGAACGTCTGGGAATCCCGAAAATGTATCTTATGAAACAATTCATGAGTCTTTTTAGTCTCATTTCCAGCCTGACAGATAGCCCTCCATACACCAAGCAGCCGTAGTCGAAGTGGGGGAATACAAGGGAGGTTACAAGGAGCTGTCTGGTTTTTAGAGGAATACAATCACGGAATCTTAGGAGTTGTTTAAGGGCAGTTATGGATTTTTGGGTAATCTGGGAGATATGATTATCCCAGGAGAGATTCTGGTCAAAGGTTACTCCTAGGTTTTTGACTGTAGGGAAAAAATGGATGGGATGGTTATTGAGGTAAAGTAGAGGAAAGTAAGGAAGGGAGCTGATGAGATGTCTGGACCCGATGATAATAGCCTTGGTTTTATCTGCATTCAGCTTTAATTCATTTATTTCTGCCCATCTGTTGATGCAGTCGATGTCCTCTTGTAGGCTCCGGGCAGCCTCAGGCATCTCAGAAGGTTGGAATGATTGGTATATTTGGAAATCATCGGCATATAGGTGGTAATTGGAGTGTTGAATGGCGTTAGGAAGGTCACTAATATAGATGGAGAAAAGGATCGGGGAAAGTGAGGAACCCTGAGGAACACCTCGCGTTAATTGAAGTGATGATGATGGAGGTTTATATAGAAAGTTTATATAGGTTTATAAGAAGTGTTTTTCTTTTCTTAAAACAGCTGCTATCGGTAACTTTTTCATGAAGGAAGGTACTAATTAATTTTCTCCGATATGATCGGAATCTGTATATGATCGCTATCGAAATCGGAAGTTATTCTGAGTTTTTTCTATTAGAGGACTCATTTTCTAGTAGCAGGACCATTTATAGTAATCTTTCTCAGTTTTGGACAAATTTGGTAAAAATTAGCGTTCGTTGACCATGGCTATGGACCATATCGCTTAATCACAATGTTAAGTTTAGGCATTCGTTTGGCGCACAATTTAACGCTTCTCCCGTAGTCTGGGCCTATGATTGCTCGTACTTGGCTTTAGAAGTAGCATAGAATATCATTTGGCAATTTTCGCAGCCACGGGCCTCCGAGTCATACTCACGCCTCTGGTTTCTATACATTACAAGCATCATGAATATAATTTATTTTTTAATTATTATTTTATTGTTTGTTTGTTTATTTCACATTAAAATCTTTACGGAGACACCAAATTTTGAAGGTGCTGAGGACCTTTGTAGCTCTTAATCTTGTTCTGGTTCTATGAAACTCAGTTTTATAATTTGTATTTAGTATATTATTAATTCTCTTTTTTAATTAGTTCAGAATGGAAGATTTAATATCAGCGAAAATTTGAATATTGAGCGAATTATTATTATTAATTATGATTATTCTATTTTAGTAAGGGGTGCCTCTAGAAAGGTAGTAGTCCTAAACCTTTCTTTCCTTATTTTTATTTTAAAAAATGATAACTTTGTAAATTAATACAATTTTGCTTCAATCTAATTGATTTGTAGCCTAATAAAACTACTCATACTCAGTTTTCAGATTAGGCTGCACTGATAGTAACAGGTTCACCTTTGTAACCTTCCGTTCTCAGTTTGACGTGTTAAATTTTTCGTAAAATTTCATTAATTTACATTGATTTTTACAAAGTAAATTTAAAATGGTAGTAGCAGACACTCCAGTTGTTATTCAAGATGAAAATCAAGAACATGAAGAGGAAACAGTTACAAAGACTGGGCCAGTTTATTCTTTAGAAAGTATCCTTGCATTAGATTTATTATTATTGTATCCAATATTCTCCATATTCAATCCAAATATTTCATTTGTAGTTTTTGCTAAATTATTTTAATTAGGAGTGGTTTTTCTTTTCTTTCTTTACTCAAAAAGGATTACTTATTTCTTTTATCACCTTGGGAACATATAAAGCTACTAGGATCCTTCTGTTTTTTTTTTTTTTTTTTTTTTTTTTTTTTTAGGCTGTTCTTGTATATTATATATTTTATTTAATATAATTTTTCATAATAGGTGTATGATTTGATTTTACTAGAAACTGAAACTGTAGTCTGCTGGGCTAATAGAGGTTTTATCTAAGTTCTGAAGTAAATAGTTACATTAATTATGTGCTCTAAAATGGGAATAGAGAATAATGAAAGTAAACATTAGAATTAAATAGGTACTAGATTATGAGTGTCATATCTAGGTTGTAGGTTGTCAGAAATCCTATTACATATTAGGACCTTAACCCATGCTTTATCCAGACATGGCACTGTGAAGTAGTACTGAAATTAACAAATATTGAAGGAAAATAATAAATCCTGTAAATTCCAAGAGACTTTATATATTTGTATCAAAGTAGTCACTTGTTTGTAATCAATGGCCGTTTCAGGATTTAAGACTTAGGTACTGTTCAAATGTCATTCCTCTTTCATCACTAGTACAAGATCTCATGAACACACCACCTGAGAATTGCTGATTGTGTTCCGAAGTTACACTCACAGACATGAGTGAACCTCCTGACCTCCACAAACATCGAACCTTTGGGGATCTGTTTATCCCTTTAGAGTTAGTGGTGCGAGCAGGGGTATAAACCAGTGATGTAAATAAAGTTATTAATGCCCTGAATTTAACTGAAAAGGACCAGGAGGGAGTTTGCCAAATTCATAAATCACAATCTAAAGACACTGTGCGAACACATTGTCAAATTTCGATATTCTCGGAATCCCATTTACACCACTAGCAAGGGATCTTGGCCCATTGGAGAAGATGGAATGACATTTTGACTATGACAGCCTTCAGTGACTTAGCAAGATTTTTTTATTAGTTTTTAAAATGAAGCAACCAAATGTAGCGTTATATGTCATCAGTACATTACAATTTTTGGGATTACATGTACAGTGTGATCAATGTGGTCTTGTCCCATTGGGAATCGAGATGTGACACTTTCTGTTGTATTACTAAGTTAGTGTTTGCTGATTTTATTCTTTATTTCTTCAATTTAATCTTTCTTATATTCAATCTTTCATATTTCTTATATCCTCAATTTCAATTTAAATTTCTGGTATATATTTGAATTCATAATTATTGTACTTATATTATAAAGAAGTGCAGGAAGCATGTTTATCTTTGTTGAGAAACATAATAATTCTCTTTACTTCAATAATTGGCATATATTTTAATTTAAAATATAAGACTATTCTCTCTGTTTGGTGTTTAATATTCTTGTTTACTCCAGGAAGGTTTTCTAACCAGAGTTCTCATTCAACATTCTCTGATTGAGATTCATTCCATGGGTCTGCCACAAAATAAATTTCAACCTGCCGAGACCAGATTCTAACCTACACCAGCTCTGACTTATCACTGAATGCCTTAACCCACTCGGCCACCATGACCTCAGCTTTACTTTTTATTTTAATTTATTAATAAGACATAAAGGTTATGGGGAAAACTGTGCCTCCTAAAATTAAAGACAATTAGTAGTCTGGATAGGTTCCATAAACTTCGGCTAGTTTCAGTATTCTATCTATAGTGTGATTGATGTGATCTTCTGTCTAAGCAAGCATTTGGTCAGTGGACTGAGACCATAAACCTCATAAAATCAGTCATGCTGTAGATGGAATTTCAAAAGTAACCAGTTTTTTAAGTAATAAAAATACGACTCAATGACAATCTTATTTATTGGTATTATTAGTGTTGATCTAAATTATTATTGCTTTTATTAGACTGTTGGATAAGTAGATAAATCTGCCTTCTGCCTAGTAAGGGTTGATGTTCTTCCATAAGTACATATAATTAAAGATTAAATATCAATAAATATATATAATTTTATTAAATGGGTACCACCATATAAATTGACTTGTAAATATTAAATTTATATGAGTATTTTTTTCCCAGTGTATCTTATATGAGTGTAATCACCCAGTCTCCCAACCTTGGATTACTAGGATTACATTGAACATAATTTTTAAATATTTTTTATGTTCTTTAATTGATAAGTTTTTATTTGATGTCATTAAGTTGTCGTATAAGCTTCATATGTATAATTAATATTTAACATTTTTTTGGTGATATTTAGAAATAGGAGTTAAAAAATAACAATTTTTTACTTTCACTTACATATATAGTAAGCGTAGGTATTGCGATCGTGAAAATTTTCGAATCTGAGTTTTCATCGGAAATACAAGTTTTGAGGTCCCCTGAGTCCAAATAACCAAGTTCCGAAAAATGGTCTGTGTGTATGTGAACACTCTAGCTCGAAACTGAAAAGTTGTATGAAACTGATATCAGATATTTAAGATAGATATATGCCTTAGATGTCCTGACAACTTTTTCCTTAAAATCGACTAACCGAAAGTGCCACTTTATATCAACGCTGAAACTCATTTTTAAAATCTTCTCAAAAACGGCTCTGACGATTTTCATTTAACTCGGTGTGTTATTGTATAATTAAGTGATCGTTAAGATCAATTAGGTCTTATCCCCGTTAATGTTCTTTACAGGACTTAAATGCCCAATGTTCATATGCGTCTTCCTCTAAAGTACCTTTAATATGGTTTATTTTAAATAATCAACTATTTCTCATTATTGAAAGTTACGAAAAAATGCTAAATGTAACTTTTGAAAGAATTTGATAATTTAATAAAGAAGAAAAAAATAAAAATGCTTATACAGTTCGAAAATGAATCTCTGGAAATAAAAGTCAGAAGGTATACTTATAATATATCGTTGGAAAGCGGAGAATTTTAGAAAAAAACAATCTCTAATATAAAAAGTTGTGGAAGGTAATGGAGAGCGGCAAAAAAATTTTAAATAATTTTTGAAAATTGATAATATTTAACGTAAATAACATGTTTTCAAGGAAATTAAATGAAATTTACTAACTAAATATAAACCGGTGATATAATAAGTTGGACTTTTGTTATTTTAATAGTAATTGTGATTTGTTAGCTGCAGTCTTTTAGTTTTAGCTCAGTTAAAAATGCAATGCAAAAATTTTTTAATAGCACAACATGACCAGAAAATAATTTCTATTCAAAGTTGAGCGGTAAGTGAAAGTTGTGTATTGATTTTTTTTTTTTTTTTTTATGAGTACGATAGTAAAATAATTTAGAGTTGCTTCCCTGGTAAATAATTTTATCTCCTGAGACTGCTACTTGGTAATTAAGTGCAGTTTGTCAAAAGTATGTTTTAAAATATTATATATTTAGGTCCAATGCTGTAGATAATCATTTATCTTATTAAATGCCCGAAGTTTTAATAAAAATGTATTAACTATGAAAGAGGTTGTGTTATGTTTACTTGTAACATTTATATTTTAATGTTATTGATAATTTCCTATAAATAATAGTATTGAAAATAATTACTGACTGCCAGCAGCAACATGGACTGCGTCATAGTGACTATCAACGATATAGGTAAAATATACTTTTCACAATATTATCTTTTATAATGGTAGAGAAATAGTTGACGGTAGACCATTAAGTACAAGTTGGTTACAATCAAAGCGAAATATGCTTAATAAATTTGATTTTCTTTGTACCAACCTTCCGGCATAAATTTTAGTTAGGGCTGTTTGGTGGGAAGATGTCTGACAAAGAAATTAATTATATACTAGGAAGTACTTTTAAATTATAAGTAGGTGTAAAAACAAAAGCGATTGTCTGGCTGCTTTGAAGTGTAGCAAACACCCTGTAAATTTAGTTATAAGTCAGTAAATTGATCTTTAATGTCTGATTGAGCAACCCTCATGTAGGTCTAAAACTTAAGCCAAAACAACAGCACAAAGAAAATGAAAAAAGTAATTTTGTTTGTAAAGTGATTGTTTATGAAACCCATTTTTTAATTTTTTATTTTCACTTACGTATATATGTAATATATAGTAAGGGTAAGTATTGCGATCGTGAAATTTTTCGAATCTTAGTTTTCAACAGAAATACATGTTTTGAGGTCCCCTGAGTCCAAATAACCAAGTGTCGCAAAATGGTCTGTGTGTATGTGTTAACAGTCTAGCTCATAAACGAAAAGTAGTACGAAACTGATATTAAGTATTTAAGGTTTGTATATGAGCCGGATGTGACAGTAACTTTTTCGTTAAAATCGTCTAACCGGAAGTGCCACTTTATATAAACGCTGAAACACATTTTTACAATTTTCTCAAAAATGGCTCTTAACGATTTTGATTAAACTCGGTGTATCATTGTATAATTAAGTGGTATTTAATATCATTTAGGTCTTATCCCCGTTGATGTCACTTTACAGGGCTTAAATGCCCATTGTTCATATATGTCTTCCTCTAAAGTACCTTTAATATGGTTTATTTTAAATAATTAACTATCTCTCATTAAGAGTTCCGAAAAAAATGCTAAATATAATTTTTGGAAGAATTTGATAATTGAATAAAGGAGAAAAAAAATAAAAATGCTGAAATCCTGCGTTGCTATAGACTCTAAATGACTAAACGAATGTACCGATTTCAATGAAACTTCGCTAAAGTCATTTTCTCGACACCCTTTAAATTTATCTATATAACATACTTCAGCAAGAAGCTGAAAAAAAAGCTATGAGGGATGGTAAAATTAAATTCCGAATAACTCAAAAAGTATACACTATTTTGTCGATGTATATGGTTTTTTAAAAGTTTATGGAATTTCCTAAAAAAAACAAAAAAAAATGCGTTAAAATCGGACAATTAGGAGGAAAGATATGGTCTCTAGTTTTTTCCCCTGAAGAGGCGAAAATTTGTATAAATTTAAAATATACTTTTTTAATTGTTGAGACTAAAAAAACTTTTTTTCTACAGATATTTAATAAAGTATCTTACCTCATAACATCTTTCATAAGAAATAAGTATCTAAATTTATACCTTTATTCTCAGTTCTATATTTCAACACTACAATCACCACCTCCGGAATCAACTTACTTACTGTCTGCATAGATAACTTTTTCTTCAAATAAAAATATTACTAAATTGACATTACTCAAAAATGTTGAAATTCGAGTTAGTCATTTTGTGGTTTATAAAAGCAAAGAAAGTTGTGTGGTTTATAAAAGCAGATGGAGTGACTAGATTTTTATTGCCTACTGTCGATATATTAAATAGACATTTTGTAATTATAATGATCTTAATGACTTGTTATCTGTAAGCTTTAAGCTTTAGCTCCGTTTAAAATGCACTTAAAATTTTATAATAGCCCAGCATTGCCAGAAAATAATTTCTATTCAAAGTAGAGCGGTAAGTGAAAGTTGTATGTTGCGCGCACCAGATTTTTTTATGTTCAAATAATTGAATTATATCTTTAGTGAATCATATATTTTCAAGTTTATTTAATGATCTTTAAACATCTTATTTCTTGGCTTTTATGAGCATAAAACTCCACCAGGTCCGATTTAAGGTCGTCATCATTTTATCGGTGTTCCGTAAAAAGAACGAATTCAACAAAATGGATAATTTCATCTTTTTAGATTCATGGAATGAATAACTACCAATGTTAATGATACACTGAATCTGTGACTTTCATATTTAAACATCCCAATATAATATATTTTATGTTTAGGGGATTTGATAGAACCGAAAACTAAATGCTCTGTATTTTAACGAGAAGAGCATATTTTGTGGGTGGTTTTCATTTGAGAACATTTCATTTCAGTGGGACATGAAGAGAAAATTGAATGGAATCCAGCATTATGTTCAATTGGTAAGTTTTGACGTCAGTTGACCTATACCTTAAAGCAGCCAGACGCTCACTTCTGGTTTTTTATATGACACTTTCTTATTATTTAAAATTATTCCCACTGGTTCCTTTACTAATAAGTAAAGTATTGAACATTTGCCTGATTTCATGAATGTGGTAGTATAATAAAAAAAGCAGGTGGTCCATACTACCATTCTGTATTAGCAAATTTATTTATCTTTGTTAACCACATGTATAATTAATTTTTTGAAGTTTAACAATTGCCTTTATCACAAAGTTGATTTTCAGGGGTTATTGCACCAGAAGAATCCAAAGATTGAGGCAGACCCTTCATTTCCCACAAGGCGATAAAAGACATTTCAAACGTAAAGATGTGACCGAAACACATCTTAAAGATGAAAGGTAATTTCTTATTTTTTACTTTGATATACCAGTTTCATAATTTGTAGTATTGCTTTATTGTAAGCAAGACAAATTTTATCTCTGTTGGCAAACTCTTAATTTAAATGAGTAAGACTAAAAATATCTACTACTACTAAATCTCTTTTCTGGCTCTCTGGAACAATGGATTTCGATGAATGAGGTATCAATAGAAACTGAATTTCATGTAGAATGTGCAAACTACAATTTTGATTCTCAAATTTGTGCTCGGATCTAAATACAAGTGAATGTAAAAATTGGGAGGTTTCAAACAATTTCAGGTCAACAGATTGGAACAGGACATAACGGGTTTAAAGATTTTAATTTGTGTATCAAAACCCAGTAAAGTTCCATAGGAATGCACCAGATTATACGTTTTTAGGTCCTAAAACTAGGAATTTGTGAGATGAGACAAGAAAAGAGTTGCCAACTGCGAGTGCAACCGTCATTATGGCATACTCGACAGATAACTTAGTTAAGTTTTCTATTCTTTCCCATAAGCTAAGCTAATTACATATTAATTAACTACTTCATATTAATTACCATGTTCATTAAAGTATTGTATGATTAAATTTATGGTACTTTAAAGTTAATTATATGTTGTAAAGAGAGTGAGAATATTATATATATATATATGTTTTATTAATTCATGTTTTACTATTAATGATTTTGACCAGTCATTTATTAAACTATTGTATTTATGAAGATTTAAATATAATTGTAAGATGTAGGAAGATTGATTCCTTCTAAGACTATTACTATCGATCTAACATTTGCAATTATAGTTTTCTTTTTGCTCATGCCTTCAATTATTAATTTTTTGTTTGACATTTACTAATACATTTTTTGCTTTCTAAGCAAGTTAAAATTCATATTAAATAATGAGTGACTAATATTTTGGACCAAAATGTTTTTGTTTTTTTTGTTGAAGGATGTTTTTTTCTTTTTTTGTAGAAGGATGTGTTTTTTTTTGTGTTTTTTTTTGTAGAAGAATGTGATCATTTTTATGTTGTGTGGATATCTGATTCTCACTAAACACTTTTTACTTTATCTTTGCAAATAGATAAGGAAAATATTAGATGATCAAATTTTCTATGCACAGTTATCGAACAGTTTTTTTGTGGGCATTATCAGCAGTTTAGCTAGACTGAGGGGGCTGACACATGTTGTCTGGTAACCTTGATAAACTGAAGTTAACTTGATAAAATGATCACGAGTTCGCATCTTGGTGCAGGAGGGAGGGGACTCTTAACTCTGGTATTAATTCTCCACCCTGGCCCCGTAAAATCCCTGTATAGCCTAAAAGGCAAGGAAGGGGAAGAGAAAAATCTGGTTTGTCCACTCACACGACTTTCCTACCTATTTCAGAAAAGTTTTTATATCTTTTCATATGTCCATCAAGAAACAAATAAAAATTGAATTAGATTTATTTTTCTCAAAATTCATCAAAGAAAAGATTTGAGTCTGATTTATTCAACAAACTAAAGCACATGTAAACTGGCTTAAGGTAGATCAGTATAAAAATTTCCATACCCTCTAATATTGTGTTTCTGTTAAAAACAGAGGAAATAGTGAAGCTTGTGTGATAAAGTCAACAGATTTTCTTACTTTCACTTAGTTAGCTTTTTTCTCTCATTCACCCCTTTCTGACACCAATATATGAACCTATAATCTTACATTGGAAATTGAATAGCTGTAACTTCGTTAATAGTTGTCTGAAATGAATGATTTTTATACAGTTAGTACGGAATTTCCTTACCTTTCAAAAAAACAGACTAAAACATGAATGCGCATAGATCATCCAATTTGTGTCAGTAGGCAGGCATCAGTAGTCAAAATCCTACAAAATGAACAAAGAAGCAACAAAATCAGTTCAGTAGTTCCCGAGAAAATCTTGGCACAGACAGACAGACCAATGTTAATCTAATTACCTTTCAAAAATTCTTATTATAGCATTTCCAAGTCAATTTCAACCTTTTCCAAGTCAAATTCAACCTTTTCCAAATCAAATTAAACTTTTTCCAAGTCAAATTCAACCTTTTCCATTTCAAATTCAACCTTTTTTTATTTATTTAATTATCTTTAATTTTTCGATGCGTGGGTCTGTTATCGTATGAGTAGTTTTTTAAAATAATCTCCTTTTTAAGATTACATGACTGCGTTTCGAATTATTTAAGTTTTTTTTTATTTATTCGATATAAGGGTGTATTTTTATGTTTCCCGATCAGTAAATTGTTAAAATGACATCTATTTTATGATTACGCCACTGTGTTTTGATTTATTTAAGTTTTTAGAATTTATCCAATATAAAGGTCTACTTTTTTGTTTCCGGAGCCGAAGATTTTGAAAACGACCTCCATTTTAAGATTAGGCCACCGCGTTTCGACTTATTTGAGTTTTTCGGATATTTTTCATATGAGGGTGTATTTTTATGTATCCGGAGCTGTAGATTTTGAAAATGACCTCCATTTTAAGATTAGGCCACCGCGTTTCGACTTATTTGAGTTTTTCGGATATTTTTCATATGAGGGTGTATTTATGTTTCCGGAGCTGTAGGTTTTGAAAATGACCTCCATTTTAAGATTAGGCCACCGCGTTTCGACTTAGTTGAGTTTTTCGAATATTTTTCATATGAGGGTGTATTTTTATGTTTCCGGAGCTGTAGATTTTGAAAATGATCTCCATTTTATGATTACGCCACTGCGTTTTAACTTATTTAAGTTTTTCGAATTTATCCAATATTAAGGTCTACTTTTATGTTTCTTGAGCCGTAGATATTGAAAATGACATCCATTTAATGATGACGCCATTGCATTTTGACTTATTTAAGTTTTTCGAATTTATCCAATTTAAAGGTCTACTTTTATGTTTTCGGAACCGTAGATTCTGAAAATGACCTCTATTTTATGATTACGCAACTGCGTTTCAACTTATTTAAATTTTTAGAATTTAACAAGTATAAAGGTCTAATTTTATGTTTCTGGAGCAGTAGATTTCCCCCATTTTGTAAATGACCCAATTTAAAGTTTATGCCACTGTTTTAGATTATAAAAGTTTCTTTTTTTACTTTTTCGGTATAAGGATCTACTTATATGTTATCCGAGACATATTGAAATTTTTCTAATCTTTAATATTTAAATTTATCTAATATTTAAGCTCCATTTTATGATTAAGCCGCTGCATCTTGATTAATTAGGCTTCATTTTGGATTTTTTCAATACGAAGTTTCATCAATATGTTTTCGAGTATGAATAAATAAATAAATATTATGAAGCTAAAGTAAAATTAACCACAGAATACAAACTAAAAAGCCGAAAAGCAACTGGTAATAAATTTAATCTTCCGTATTCAGATTTTTCAGCTAATTGTTCGAAATCTTATAATTTTGTGATAGGAGACCACAACTTTAAAAAAGATAACTAAAATTAAATTAAAAATGAGACAATACATATTTTATTTATTTTGAGTAGATATTTTTATTTATTTATTGAAAAATAAATTAATCCTTCGTATTATGTTTTTTATTCGAAGGAAAAATCAAAAACACTTAACAAAACCGAAACACAGTGGCCTAATCTTAAAATGTAAGTCGTTTTAAAAACTAAGGCTCCGGCATCATAAAAGTAGACCTTTAAATTGGATAAATTCGAAAAACTTGAATATGCCGAAACGTAGTGGCGTAATCTTAAAATGGAGGTCATTTTCAAAATCTACGACTCCGGAAACATAAGAATACACTCTTTTATGATAAAAATTCGAAACACTTAAAGAAATCGAAATGCGGTGGCCTAATCTTAAAATGGAGGTCGTTTTCAAAATCTACGGGTCCGGAAACATAAGAATACATCCTCATATGAAAAAAATCCGAAAAACTCAAAGAAATTGAAATGCGGTGGCCTAATCTTAAAATGGAGGTCGTTTTCAAAATCTACGGCTCCGGAAACATAAGAATACATCCTCATATGAAAAAAATCCGAAAAATTCAAAGAAATTGAAATGCGGTGGCCTAATCTTAAAATGGAGGTCGTTTTCAAAATCTACGGCTCCGGAAACATAAGAATACATCCTCATATGAAAAAAATTCGAAAAACTCAAATAAATCGAAATCCGGTGGCCATATCTTTAAATTGAGGTCATTTTCAAAATCTACAGCTCCGGAAACATAAAAATACACCCTCATATGAAAAATATCCGAAAAACTCAAATAAGTCGAAACGCGGTGGCCTAATCTTAAAATGAAGGTCGTTTTCAAAATCTACGGCTCCGGAAACATAAAAGTAGACCTTTATATTGGATAAATTCTAAAAACTTAAATAAGTCAAAACACAGTGGCGTAAACATAAAATGGATGTCATTTTCAAAATTTACTGATCGGAAAACATAAAAATACACCCACATATCGAATTTGTCAAAAAAACTTAAATGATTCGAAACGCAGTCACGTAATCTTAAAATGGAGATTATTTTCAAAACTAGGTACAGGACAGCATAATACTAGTCCCTAAGAAATCCGAATAGGTACAATAAATCGATATCCGTAAGTGAAAATTCTACTTAGGAGAGCATAATAATAGACTTTCATATTGGAGGGGGGGAGGGGATGGCCATTATTTAAAAAAAAAATATAAAATTTACAAAAACTTAAAACATTAATTTGAAATGAAAACGGTTGAATTTGAATTGGAAAAGGTTTAATTTGAAATGGAAATGGTTGAATTGACTTGGAAAAAGTTTGATTTGATCTGGAAAAGGTTGAATTTGACTTGGAAAAGGTTGAATTTGACTTGGAAATAATTGAATATCACATAGAAATATCACACTGAAAAAATCTAAAATGTTAAAATAAATGGATATGCAACTGCGTAATCAAATTTTTTTTTTGTATTTTTTAAAAGCTATGCCGTCGATAATATAGTAAGTGGCCTTCATTTCGAAAAAAATCGAAAATTGACAAAAATTCTAAAGTTGAATTTGAAATGGAAAAGGTTGAATTTGACTTGGAAAAGGTTGAATTTGAAATGGAAAAGGTTTAATTTGACTTGGAAAAGGTTGAATTTGATTTGGAAAAGGTTGAAATTGACTTGGAAATGCTATATATTATAAAAATTCTTATTATATTATAAATTTTACCATAGAATATATATTTAGTGAGTTACGTCCCAAAAAATTTTCCTTTTCTTTATAACTTTTTTCCTGAATTTTCTCTGGGATTTAGTCCATATACAAAAATTGAAAGGACAATTATTAGAGCATTATAGGAAAGTTTCATCAAAATCTTTAAAGCCATTTTTGCGCTACAGTCTATAGGAAAACAAGTTTTTCATTTATTTCACAGCTGCTATTGCGCATGGAGCATTCAATTTGTGTCACAGGTATCAGTTGTCAAAACCCTACAAAATAATAAAATAAGCAACAAAATCGGTTCAGTGGTTCCCGAGAAAATCTTGGCACAGACAAACAGACCAATGGCTAAAAATGTGTTCTTCGAAATCGGGGGAGGGAGGGCTCGGAAACGTATAGATTTATCAAAAACTGCATATTGGAAATTTGACTCGATTGCAATACTTTCCTTACCTATATAGGTAGGAAAGTACGTGGGCGGGGTGGCCGAATGGGCTAAAGCGTGTGCACTGCACTGCCATTGCCCGGCAACCAGATATATGAATCAAAGATATACAAATAGTCACGAGTTCGCGTCCCAGTGCCGGGGGAGTCTTTTAAATCCCCGCCCACACTCCCTGGCCCGGGAACCCCGTATAGCCTTTAACGGCGAGGAAGGGAAGGAACAAAAAAACAAAACAAAAAATTCATTCATTTTGGATTAGAAAATGTCTTTACTCTGATTATCAAACGTGTTGGTTGGATTGAAAGTTGAGAGTTTCTAGTCAGTAGTCTGTATAATTGGCCTATCGTCGGTTAAGTTCTTGTCTTTTAAGTCTAGTATGTGGGTTTCACGTTAGTCTTCGCTCTAAGATAAAGCCAAGATACCGGACTGTGTCTGAAAAAGGAATCTGGATGGAATTAAAGTGGATTGATGGGTAGAATCTGCACCGGAGTATGAAGGTAATGTGTTTTCATTTGGATTCGTTTACTTTGATGCGCCATTTATTACACCAGTGCTCAATCATGGAGGGGTGCCTTTGCAGATTTAAAGATGCTATTTCAGGATCTGAGTTGGATGATAAGATGGTGGTGTCATCAGCAAATGTTGCAATGAAGATATCGGGATGGACAGGGATATCAGCGGTAAAAAGGATATAATGGACGGGACCCAAGACACTACCTTGAGGAACACGGGCTTCAACTGGGTAGAAGTTGGAAAATTCTGTACCATAGCGAACCTGAAAGGTGCGATCAGAGAGGTAGGAGCGGAGGATTAGGTACAAAGGACTGTGATAGATGGGTTTTCAGCTCGGGAAGAAGCCCAGCGTGCCATACCTGGTCAAAAGCTTGAGCTATGTCCAGAAATGCACCCGAGCAATATTACTTGTTTTCCAGTGCTGCGGAAATATGATCGACCACTCAGAGTTCTTAAAACAGGATTTGAAGGTGGCGAATTCCTGCTTTAATCGTTTACTGTAATAATTATAAGAGCGGCGATCGGTGTCATAATATTCTGGCGCGGCGTTTGATGTGAATTAAATAAATATTTACATGTAAACTTATGTAAATGTAATAAAGAAAATTTAGTTCAAAAATATTTAATTTTATGCAGTAGAATCAGAATTAAGTCCATGAAACCCTAAATATGCAATATAATGCTATAAATTTAGTCTCAAAAGACAAAATTTCATGCAATATCAAATTTCAGCATGTTATTCTACAGATCATGAAACTGATAGATAATCAGGCTAGGAGTTTTTACATAAAAGCAAATAAAATGTGCTATGATAGAAAATCCAATTTCTAATTATGACTCATTTAATACTATTGGAATTTTCGTTGTAAATAAAAAGTTTATTAGTATGTAATAACTTAGAAATGTGGGTCAACCAATGGCAAAACCAGTAGGTCTGTTATTTTTGTAACTTCACTTTTTGTAGTGCAAATTAACTTTTTAGTAAATATTTATTTTAGGTTCTTAATAAACTGTCATTGAAAAAAAAAGCGTTAACAGCACATTTCCGTGACTGAGGTCATGTTTTCCTCTAATGTGTGTCTATCTATTATTTCATTGATGCTTGCCAGAGAATTTTTTTTAATAAATTGAACTGCTGAAATTTGTTCTTGTTGTTGTTACTTTATAATTTGTTTCCAAACTTAATCAAAATTGCGGGAGGAGAGAAAATAGTTAAAGACTCTTAAAACACACTTCTCTGTTACCAACTAGATTTGCATTAAAATTTTGAATCTTTCATTCAATCACATTTTAAAGGTTCAAACATGTATTCCTCCTAAAGGTCCACAAAACCATAACAATGGTTAAGTCTATAAAAAAAAAAAAAAAAAGATCATTATCTAATATTAACACAATTATATACAAAATTTTCACTCTATAACTTCATTTGGAGAGGTGTAGGGTTGTGCAAACTAGCACTTCTGTGAATTTCAGGATAGTGGATGGTCCTGATTTAGGATGGTCCTCCGCTCCTCATTTCCATTTTAAAGCTTATTTTATATATATATATATATATATATTTTAAATGAAATATAAATTTTATTACAGGTTTTTGCATATTCCTTTGATGTTGTCTGAACGGGCATGGGGATACGCCATGCAGTTGCGCCAAGAAGCCAATACTGAACCTAGGAAGAGATTTCATTTGGCCTCTAAGTTGAGAAAGGCAGTCAAATATGCTGAACAGTTAGAACAATTGTGCCAGGTAATTATATATGTTCAACTTTCTTTGTTTTGTTTGGTTCATTCCTATAAATACAGTTTTCCTTGGAAATTTAATTATAATATCTTGGTTTTCTTAATTAGGCCTATGAGTCAAATACATAAACCTCCTTCGTGATTGCGCAATTTTAAATCTGATAGTATTTTCGTATAAAGCTCCCCTTTTCTCCCTCACAACATAATAGAGAGAAGACCTCCACATTGAAGAAATCTTGTAAGTAACTAAAATTTGATCGGATAATATCTTAAATTAAAAAGTCTTATATCTAATAGCATTTTTATGAAAAGGACTCAAGGACCCTTATATCAATGAAATCTAAAAAGTTACAAGAACTTGATGTGCGATTGCGCGAAGTCAAATCCATCAGTATTTTTTTTATAGAAAGAAAGTAAACTTTATTCTGGGACAAGGTCCCTTATGAATAACAGATATGAACAAAAAATTAAAACTACATCTGGCCAAAAATTACATTAATCAATATTAAAGAATATATACAGTATCTTCAGTGAAATTAAATTAAAACAAGTTATAAATTTATATAAAGTATTTATAAACAAATTAAAGCAAACAAACATAATAGTGGTCCTTTATATCGAAAAAATTCAAAAACTTGATGCTTTATTACTCTATGTCAAATTTGTCAGTATTTTCATAAAAAGTGCCTATTTTCATATAATGGAAGGTACTATAGAGGAAGAAATTTAAAACATTAGAGATTTAAGTCCTGTTAAGTGACATCAATGAGAATAATACCTAGCTGATAATAAAGGACATTGATGTACAGAGTTTAATCAAAACTGCTTTTGTTAAAATTCTAAAATCGGTGATAAAAAATAGTACTTCTATTTAGCGGATTATCAGGAAAAAGTTGCTGTAACATCCCATGCACATACCTACTATAAATTCGTAGTATCACTTTCATATAAGTTTTCCTATTAGTTCCTAAAACCATTTTATGAGACTTGGTTATTTGGACTGAGGAGATCTCAAAACAGTCAAAAACTCAGATTTGAAAATATTCAGGATCACAATACTTTTCTTTACTAATAATATTACAAATATAGGTAAGTGAAAGTAAAAAGAACCCTGAATTACTTATCATAAAATTGAATACAACTAAAAAAATCTGGTGGATGGATCACACAACTTTCACTTACCGTTCAACTTTGAATAGAAATTATTTTCAATGTTAGGCTATTATAAAAATTTTTAAGTGCATTTTAAACGGAGCTAAAGCTTAAAGCTTACAGATAACAAATCATTAAGACCATTAAAATTACAAAAATTCTATTTATTATATTGACGGTAGACAATAAAAATCTAGTTACTCCATCTGCTTTTTTAAACCACATAACTTCACACAATGGCTAACTCCAATTTCAACATGTTTGAGTAATGTCATTTTAGTGATATTCCTAGTTGAAAAAGTTATCTATGCAGACAATGAGTTAGTTGATCCCATGAGTAGGTGATTATAATACTGAAATATAAAACAGCAAATAAAGGTATAAATTGTGTCACTAGAAATATCACTAAAATTAATAATGAAGAATATTGAAATTGGGGTTGTCAACTGAAAGACTCATATATGCCTAGAGAGATTTGAATGTACATCTGAATATTTAACCTATAAATGATTATGAATTGTAGGCTATTAGTTATTAATATGTTATTTTCCATTGCGAAGTTTACTAAAAATGTAATCACGTGATTTTAATTGTCTGTCATGGATAGATCAAAACTTGTCACACTAGTTGTAAGTGGATAATGTTAGGATTTCAGAAAGGGAAAATTAATCAAATTATTCTCTAATTTAATTTTCTAAGAGGTGCCCTTGATGATTTTTCAGAATAAACGACCGATAGATACCTAATTATTTAAATATATCTGATCTAGAGTTATTAAACTACAGTAAAAGTATTTAAGGTTATAATCATATCTATGAAATATTTTTATATTTCACTTCTTCTTTCATACAAGTACAGTGAGATAGTATTTTAAACAATTATTTTAAACTTAAAAAAAAAATTCAAAGTTTACATTTAGTAAGAAAATTTCATTTAATTTCCTTGGAAACATGAGATTTACGTTAACTAATGTTAGTTTTCATAAATTATTATTTATATTTTTTTCGTCACTCTCCATTATCTTTTAAAACTTTATTTATTTGATATTATTTTTTCTAAAATTCTCTACTTTCCAACGATATATTATATGTATACCTTCTGACTATTATTTCCGGGAATTCATTTTCAACCTGGGTAAGCATTTTCCCTTTTTTCTTCACTTTCCAATTATCATATTCTTTCAAACTTCATATTTAGCCATTTTTTATAATTGTTGCCAATAAAAGAGAGTTAATTTTTTTTAAATAAACCATAATAAAGGTACTTTAGAGGAAGACGTATATGAATATTGGGCATTCAAGACCTGTAAAGGGACATAAATGGGGATAATAGCTAAATGATATTAAAGACCACTTAATTATACAATGATTCACCTAGTTTAATCAAAATTGTTAAAGCCGTTTTTGAGAAAATTGTAAAAATGTGTTTCACCGTGGGTTTAAATTGCCACTTCCGGTTAGCCAATTTTAAGGGAAAAGTTGCTGTAACATTTGAGTCATATACCTATCTTAAATACGTAATATCAGTTTCATACGACTTTTGGTTTGAGTTAGATAGACTGTTCATATAACACAAAACACACAGACCATTTTGTGAGACTTCGTTATTTGGACTCAGGGGACCTCAAAACGTTTATTTTAGTTGAAAACTGAAATTTGAAAATTGTCACGATCAAAATACTTTCATGTGAACGTAAAAGCATCATTAATTCAAAAGACAAATTTAGCAATAAAATTCAAAACCTGTTGGGTGACCGCCATATATGTCTTACTTTCAGGAAGGTCCACTAAAAAGAAATCCAAATTAGTTAAAAATAAATACATCACTTAAAAAACAAGGATAAGTTAATGACTAAATATTATTCACTACTTCATAGTTATTCTAATACAAATTTTATTTTATAATTTAGTCAGAACTATGTGACGCCAGATCGAAACTAGAAGCACAAGCTTACATTGCTTGGATGAGAGCAAGCCTTCATTTTGAACTTCATGTGTGGAAGAATGCTCTTGATTATTTCCAGCAGGCTCAGTAAGTAGATGAATAATATTTTTATACTAAAGTTTTTAAAAGTAAAATAACTTTATTTTAAAAGGCGTTATAGCAGATCAATATTGAATTTTCAAAATTCCTTAAGTAATAGAAAGTTAGTAAGTGTAACTTTAAAATATAGAAGTTTCTTACCTGTTAAAAAATTTAAAAAACACTCACTTTCAAGCTCTCTTGTCTTATAACTAAATTTATACTTGATTTAGGGTTCCGAAATAACTTTAAATTGTTATTAATATAGATGCTTGTTCTACCTTTTTTTAATTTGAAAGTGAATCAAATAAAAATGGTAATTATTTTTTATACATTTATTGATTAATGTTGTGCTCAAACCATAAATTATCAAACTCAAACCATTACTCAGTAGTCTGCGTTATTTACCTACTTTGCCACTGATCTGGAACCTTTTAATCTGTATTTGTATATATATATTTTTTTTAAATATATAATTTATTTTTATAAATATATAATAGTTTACAATTAAAACATATTACTTTTTTTTAACACTTACATATTACCTATATACATACAACATATTACATTTATAGATTAAAAATAAACACTGAAAAAAAAAATACTATTTACAATAAAATTATATACAGACTATTTTAGAGTAGGATATGTTTCATTCTCTTATTTTTATATTTGAGTGTTGATGTTTTGTATAATTTCCTATTTTATTTCATGAGGGATTTAATGAGTGTTCTTGAGATTGAAAGAAGGCTAGGTTGTTTTGTAAATGTAATCTTGCATCTAGGACATATCTAATTCTGAGTATATCTTAGTTATTTTGGTCTAATATGGATAATTATTGACTAAAATATTGGCTAAGGCATTTGTTTTGAAAAAAATGTAGTTTTTCTATGTTACACTATATACTATATAGTGCAAACTATAGTACTATATAGTAGTACACTATGTACTATATAGTTAAAACTATAGGCACTCGATCTGTATCGTTTTATACTTGTTCTTAAACTCTTATTTTTCTCTCCTCAAAATTTATCTTGGAGTTACTGGGTTTTCATTTCCTGCCCTAATAAGGGGAGTCTACGGACATGGAATCATACATTTCACTGAAACTTTTTATGGTATACTAGGTTAAGAAATATTTGATGCATCTCTGAGGGTTTTTGTCAATGTACCGCAAGCGCCAAAGAAAACATATATATTATAGAATTTTAACATTATTTTATATAATTGTTTTCTGCCTTTGCTCTATTATATCATTTGAATTATTTTGTTGTTTTTTAAAATAAGAAAAACATATTGCTGATTATATTAAATGAATTCAAATGTACAATAAATTTTAAAAAAATAAATGACACCAGTAATGTAGGTAAATAAATTTTTTAATTAAAAAGCAATTCATATTCATATCATACATCCTCTAAAACTCATAAATATGTCAATGTTATATTTCACATGATATTCTTGCTAACATTTCAGGATTTTATCTTATCCTCAGAGCTTTTTTTTTTCATTATAATTCAATTTTCACTTTGATACCTATGATCCATTCAGATTTATGATTTACAATTTCTTCATACATTATAGTTGTAGCTACACACTAAAAATTGGTTAGCTTGAACAAGCTATAAGGTATGAAGAAACTGTAAATCATAAATCTGGTAGATAGAGCTCACATATCAAAGTGAAATTGAATTATAATGAAAAAAAAACTCTGAGGATAAGATAAAATCCCAAAACGATAGCAAGTATATAAATGTGAAATATAACATTGACATATAATAATGGAAGTTTTCATTACTAACCTTATAATAAATAAATAAATATATATATATTTTTTTTTTTTGGACTTTATTTCAATGAAAGATTTATTTTCATGCCATTCACTAAACCATTCATAACTCCTCAGGATCTTCTCCAAATTCAAAATTATTACAACTGTTAGGAAGCTGAATTATTGCTCTTCCTAATCATATCAATAACCTCTTTTATTACTATTTTTTTGTTTCTCTTTGAGATTTTTGGTAAAAATCCTAATCGTCATAGAATATAATACAGTCTACTGTTACCTAAAAAAAATAGAGGGTTTTAAAAAAAATGCAGACAGACCTCCCGCTCCCTAGCATTGTGCCTTTACTCTTTTTAGTTAATTATATATAAATAAAATAAAGGTTTTGTCTGTACATTGAATAGGATCAACCTGTTTCGTGATATCTTTCCGTTTCATACATTACAGACACCAAATCCACTTTAAAACAAATTTTTGTCTGTCTGTATGTCCGCATTATTCAACGAAATTTTGTCAGGGGTGGTAAGCTGAGCAATGGCTAATGGTATACTCTTGAAATTTTATTTCAGTTTGCTTGACTTAAAACATAGGTTTTAAGTAAAAACAAAATATTGAGTAGAACCAATTCTTTATGAACCAGTTATGAATTCTTGAGTAATTTGTCTAGAGATCCCGGTTAGGCAGTTACTTACTTTGATTCTAATCCCAACCTACTCTACCACGAGCCACATTTAAAAGTTGTACTATTCAACTGATGGAAAAAATTACCACAACTCAACTGGAAAAATCTGAAATCCTTAACATCTGTAACACGTTGTTGCTTAAAACACACTCATTTTTCAACTTAGTCCGATCTTCCCGTTCAAGGTGTCATTTGATTTAACTTCCCGAGCCTAATAGATGTTTTCTATACATTTTTATGATTAACCAAACGTGTTAGCCGGAAATCGGAAAAAACAAAACAAAAATTTCACCCCGCCTGCCACAATATTCAGATCAAGTTCTAATTTTACACGGATATAGGTGATTCAATGTTACAATACACCCATCAATGATGGGTACATCTGCTAGTTACAAATAAAAATAATGTGACCTATTAAAATACATTACAATAAATTGAATTTTTAAACATTTTACTGATAAATATGTTTTTTCACAAAGTTCAATTAGTAAAAGTTTGAAAACTAAGTCTTTAAGTTACAATTAGAAAAATAATAAGATATATTACAATAAGTCAGATTAACTATATACATATCTTACTTATTTTACAAAGTTAAAAACAATAAAAGAACAAAACATGAACATAAAATGCGTTAATAATCACAATTTATAAAGGCCCTAATAAAATATATTATAATAATAATATATATATACATATATATATATATATATATATATATATATATATATAACAAAAATTCGATTTTTGAAATTTGGAATTTACTGGACGCTGAGGGCTTAATTGGTTCATGTACTCTGAATTCTAAGAATCAAATAAACGACATTGATACACTTAATATTATATTTAATAAACAAATCACTTATAAAACAAAAATAAAATTGAATTTATGTTAATATACTCTATTATTATAAATATATGTATAAAATACTGTTCAATTGGACTGTCTTTATGATAGCTCCAAATGTAGACTGCTCTATCAACTAAAGGTGGTCTTCATCCAGTATATCTTTTCTAATTGCTGTAGAGATATTCCCTGAACTGACAGACGATACATTCTTTCTGGCCAATGGCCGGAATAAGACTGGGGTATAACTATGGCATGGGTGTCGCATCCCTCCCTCCACTACGCTTAACTCAAACATATTTTTTTCAACTTTAATATTCGATAAATAAAAATCATTACTATATATATTAATTTATTTATATAGATATAATGATTTAATTATTAAGACAGAATTTACAATAAATATTGACATATTTATAAATTATTTCTAACAGTGATAGTATAAATAAAATTGTTGTTCATTTAAATTTTCAGCTTATTCTGATAATTTATTTAATAAAATTCTCCTCTTTAGGGTTGTTTATGAAAAGTTATGTGGTGTTGTGAAGGAAACTGACCTGCCTATTTATAAGCATAAGTGCGATGAATTAATTCCGAACCTGAGGTATTGCGCTTATTCAATTGGCGATTCTTCTGCAATTACAGACCTTAAAGATCTTCGTGGAATAGCTCATGGTGATATTTTGGATAAACTTGATGTGAGTTTATTTTATAATTTTATCTCTAGAAAATGCAATAAAATTATGTTTTTTTGAAACAATAATTAGGAACCCAGAAATTATCATGTTTTCATACTTTGAGATTTAACAAAACAGTTTTTCATTTAAAATAATAGTGGATAAATGGTTATATTTATGAATAATTTGATGTCTAAAATCAAAACCAAAGATGTCTTTATAGAATGAATAGGATATTAATGTCATCAGTATTTTTATAATATTTTTTCTATTGGTCTATGTTTATTTCTCCTCAAACATTCATTATTCAATTAAAATTTATTTTAATCAAAAATAAAAGTTGGAGTATTAATTTACAGAAAATTAATATATATGTGTGTTAGCAAACATGCAATCATGTTGATTAATAATAACACTTATATGTTTATTTCATAGTTTATTTTTGGTAATTGCTTTTCTCCTAAAGCAAGTATGTGTGTAGCGAGGAAATAAACTTGATGGATAATTATATTAACCCTTAACTGGACTAGAAGTAATTGTACTGATTTTTATTGTTTTATTCTTCCATTTTCTTTCGTAGCATGAAATAAAAAGAAAATTAAAAAAAAAAATGTATGCATGACAATTTATCTTTTGTTTGAAGCTATTATATATGATAACTTGTATAATAAAGGGTGTGTCAAGTTATAATTTTTGCTGTAATTCATTGTTTAATTTATTATGCCAATCCTCCCACGGATGTGAAGGATATCGACATAATAATTATGCTTTTGTAGCTGGTACATTTTTTTGAATGTTTTGGACTGTGTATAAGGTATTTGCTCATTATATAATTAAACTATTGGGTTGAACATATTGCTATATTTTATTTCTATTATAATTTGATATATTAAAGCCACATCTTATACAATGAATTGTTGGTGGATTAATGAATTTGGTCTGACTATGACGAACTATTTTAACTGTGGAATAGGTGGGTGGTGTCTTAAAATGAATTAATTTGGTACTTGCTGCATTCTTCGTCTCCTTTTGTCTCTCTCCTCCATGCAGTGCTGAGGCTCCTTGCAAGGCCTCTTGACTATCTACTCCACCTCGCTTGTGAAAAGGTTGCTCAGATGAAATTATGGCTGGCTACCTCTAGGTATAGTCTCAAATAGACATGATTCTAGCAGGATTTATGCATGTATTGACTGTCTTTTTTTGCTTCTCTTGCCTGCCAAAAGATGGCAGCAGTGCTGCTTGCTTCTTCATTAAATTCAATTTGAATATAGTAGGAACTTAGCTTTGTTCCCTTAACACTCATTTACTCCTCTAGGTTGATAAGATTTCACAGATGATAAAATTTTTAATGACTAAAAAAAATAAGTCATAGTTGGAATTTAAAGACAAACATCAGTGACATTCTATTTGTTATAGGTAAATTCAATAAATAACATAATTAAATTGAAGGTTTTATTTTGGTGAAATTATTGAAACAAATTAAAATTTACCAAAAAATTATAAATAGAACGTAGTGTCAAAGTATTAAAAAAACAAAAAATCCATTCTTTTGAAGTTGATACATCCTTTTTAGCATCCTGCTAGTCAGCAGCATCTGAGTTTTTTTTTCTACTTCTCCCTCCAAGTAAAAAAAACTGTGACAGTATATGCCTAAGTTAGCTCTTGTTAACTGATTCCTTTTAGCTCATCTGATTTGCTTTCATTGTTCATGTTATCGTTTAGTCGAGGATTTGGGCAGAGGTCTTGAAACTATGGCCCGTGGGCCAATCCGCCAAGTACCTCCAATCTGCCCAGCACGTTTCTTTGATTACTAGGTGAAATTTTAAAAAATATAAAATTTAGTTCATCACTCAAACATGAGGCTACTAAGCATTCTTTGCATGAGCTCATTCATTTGGAAAGCTCATTTGGCACCATTTATAGAACAAGCTTTTTTTTTTTCATCACTGGCTATGGCTTGTGGGTCTTAGTGGATATCTCAATGTGGCTTGTGGGTCAAAAAGATTGGAAACTCCTGGTTTAGGAGGAAGAATCAATCTCCTTTTTGGTCTGTATGTCTGTAAATAATAATTTTAATTATTTGTGTACTTAATTATAAATTATATTAATAGATGTATAACAAAATCAGCTGTTCAATCAGAATGAATGTCATCTCATAAAAACCTTGAACAAAAGGAGAAAATATCGTATAAGAAAATATTCACATAAGAAGAAGAGCCTCCACCCACAACCTTGTCTATAAAAACATCTGCAATTTCACTTATCCGCAACCAGAAGAATATTTCTTTCACAGCTTAGATATCCAGAAACACAGAGCAATAAGCCTACTACGGGTCGTAAGCACAGCATATCCATTTTGTCTCCTCTTCATCCTATCCCTCTTTCCTAGCACCAGCTCCACCCCTCATTAATCCCCCCTTAAATTCATTTGTAAATCCCTAACCAAAGATTTCGGAAATTAATGAAATTCTCACTTCCATCCATTTTCCCAATCCTTTATCATATCTATAATTTTTCACTACAAAGTTCCACTTTTTCAGCCTCTGGAAAACCGCCCATGTTGGTCTTCTGAACAAAACCTCTAATCCTGCAACCCCTAATGATTTCCATCCAATTTCCCTGTTATCTAACCTTTCCAAACCTTTAGAACGAATAATACAATCCCAATATCTCAATCAAAATAACCATTTGAACTGCTTCCAGTCTGGTTTTAGACTTGACTGCTCCACTCATTCCGCCCTCATTAAAATCTCTCAATATCTCCACACAGTCATAGACCAATAGAAACTCACCACCCTGATCCTTCTTGATTGCTCTAAAGCATTTGACTCAGTTGACCGTAATATCCTCCTAACCAAACTTAAAAATATTTCCTTATCATCTAGTGTCCTTATATGGTTCCCATCCTTTCTCACTGGTCGCTTCCTGTACGTTGTTATTCCTAAAAACTCTCCATCAATGTCTTTTCCTCTGTCCAGAGGCGTCCCACAAGGTTCCTCTTTATCCTCCACCCTCCTTTTCATCTACATCAATGACCCTTCCTCAATCATGCATTGTCAATATCACCTATATGCCGATGACGTCCAAATTTATCTTTCCTTCAACCTAGCGGATTCCTCTTATGCCATCCTGAAACTGTAACTAGACATCAATAGAATATGCGCATGGTCTAATCTTAATAAGCTCACATTAAATACGGAGAAGACAAAAGCCATCCTGATCGGATACCCCTCACTCCTCAAATCTCTTTCAGTACCTCCCAATCTTCGGAACAACTCACCTATCTCCTTCCATACTACTGTTAAAAACGTTGGCATTACCCTCGATCAAACACTTCCTGGAAACCACACATCTCTCAAATTTCCTGCCGTACTATTTCCACCCTGAAACAGTTTAACAACCATCTACGTTATCTTCTTTCATTAATAACACGTCAACTCCTGGTCTCATCTCTTGTTTTTCTCCACTTTGATTATGGTTGTATAGTGTATGGTGGACTCTCGGGAGAACTCGAAGCTAAACTTAAACATCTAATGAATTGCTCAATCCGCTTTATCTTCGGGATCGCAAGGTATACGCATATTACCCAGTTTTACACCGAGCTGAAGTGGCTTTGTCCATCCTACCTCTGTCAGTATTTCCTTGCTACCTTCCTATACCAGGCCATTAGAACTCGGTCCTCCTATATTCTACAGATCCTACAATTGAAAACTCCTTTCAATCCATCCCACTAGATCCCATACGTCCGACCTGTATTCTCCTCACCGAACTGCTGCGTTTGACAAATCCTTTTTAATTCAAGTTGTCTCCCTCTGGAACTATATCCCCTTAGATATTAGACACGCAAAGTCAGTATCCTCTTTCAAATCTCTCCTCTTCAAACATCTACTCCGGTTGGTGTTGGTGGAGGACAGACGTCTGTGGTGACAGGTAGATAATTGAAATTCAGTATGTATTTGGGTGGCTTTGTGAGATGTCTACCGTGATAATTTTCTTTTTTCTTTTTTCTTTCTGCATATATGTGATCTTGGTTTGTTTGTCCTGATGATGCCTGAATTTGAGAAATGTTGGCAAGTTAACTATTCACTTGTATGTTGGAGACTCATGGCTTTGTTGTTTGAATTTTTCCATTTATAACATTGTTAAGGACATAATTCATTGTTATAATTGAGAGAATACTTATTTTTGTATTTTATAGTACTGTACAAATTACTATTGCTTCTTTTTAGATGTAATTCTTTTTTAATTTTCAGCACCTGATGCTTGAAGCACGTGCCAAAGATGGATCTGGGGTTGCAGAAGTTGAATGGCTAGGTTATAAAATTTCTGTCAGACCTGCTGAAGTTGGAAGTTTCCTACTTGCTGACCAGGAATTGCAAATCGAATCACCTGGTGGGCAAGCTGAGGTTGATCTTCTTGAAAGGCATGTCATCCGTTGCAAAGATGCTATTTCAGCTGTGAGGGATGTCATTTTGGCAGAACAGGTATATTTATTAACTCTTTCAAATTGATATTAAATGAATTAATATTAATTCTCAACTATGAAATTTATTACTTATAACAAAAAATTAAATTAATTTAATTTAAAAAGAAAAGAAAAACCAGGGTGATAGCCACTAAGTGACTGAAAACGAAATTAAACTTAATCATTTCAAAAACAGGTAAAGAAAATTAGACTAAATAACAAATAGTTTCTGTTTTTTGTAGTTTTTGTAGTTTCTGCTATTTGTAAATAAAAGAAAGAAGTATTAGTTTATTTTTTCTTTCATTTTTTATAATCTAGACAACTATTTTTGTTTTAATATATTCTATTTACATCAAATGTCTTTTCTAATTATGAATGAATATTATATTATTCTTAAATTATGTTAATTTTTTATACTTAAGGGTGGAAAATTAAAAACAGAAGGTCATCCTCTTCAAATTCTTCTGTCATATCTGACATACATACGCTTGTCACGTTCGAATGAACGTGTCAGAATAATGATTGAACTAGCTAAGGTTGAACAAGAAGCTGCAGGACAGGAAACAGAACCAGAAGTAAGATTTATAACTTTTGTCTTTTTTTATTTATGAATCAGTTGTCATGATGTAATTATCATTACTTGACTGTAATTCATTTGGTCAATAATTGTAATTTATGTATTATTATTAGTGCCCGGCTCTGAAGATTTAAATTTTCTAAGGAATAGATCCTAAAATCAATTTTTAGATCCAAAAAAGATCTTAAACCACTTCTTAAAATTAGTATATAGCATAAAATAGTACTATAAGTACTATTTCATATTTAAAATATTTAAACCCTATAAGAGTTTAAATATTTAAAACATGAAAAACATAAATGAACATGTACAAACTGAGTGGGAACATTTACCTTACATATTTATAATATTTACAAAAATTAAAATTTTAAAAATTAACATTGCTTACTAACAAAAAGGATAAGCTCGTAAAATCAATGTTGATTCAATCAATTAAATCCAGCAGTGATGGATGCAGACTAAATTCTTAAATTTTTATAATATATAAATAGGGCAGGTTCCTAAACTCGGCCCTTAGCGCATCAATGGCATCGACCAGTTTAGAGACTAATTCGATGCCATCGATGAGCTGAGCACTAAGTTTACAGATTTGCCCATATAAAAAGAAAATAAACTTAATATAAATATGCAAAGTAAATCGAGATATAACAACATTAAAATTACATCCAGTGGAACCACTGAGCTGTCGGTGGTTCATTTGATGAATAAATTAATGTTTTGAAATCCATTGATGAGCTTAGGAACTTACCCAAATATTTATATGGTTGTGGGAAGTGATATTTACTAAAATTCTTTAAATATTATTCCAAAAATAAATTGTAACATTTTTAATGTCTCTTTCGTTAAAACTAAAAATATGATGGAATTAATCATTTTCTATAGAATTGATAATGAATAATTTACTTTTTTAATAACATTGTGTAGAAGAGAAAAGCATTCATCATAGATTTTGTAATTGACAAGAACATTTTTTTTTATCTCAGAATGTTATCATAGAAAATTGTCCATGTTATGTACCCTTGTAGACTTGTTATGACCAAATTTTTAATTTTACTAAAATTTTAAAAATATTCTTGACTGAAACTTATTGCAGGATAGAAAAATACCTGATTTTGTAACTATATGTAACTTAAAAAAGTGTTAATTCATCATACTATTAGGTACTTAAATTTAATGCTGTAAGAATAAATAGTCTAAAATTAAATAAACAAAAAATTTCTATTTTGTTACAAATTTAAGAATGGATGTATTGGAAATATCTGATGTTGAACCAACCTATGTCTTTAACAAATATTTTTGCGAGTCATTCATTTTTAGTATTTTATACATTGAATGTCAGTAATTAACACTGCTAAATACTGAAAAACCAACCACTATTTCCAAGTCCAGCAATTGAGGGAGCTTAATTGTTTCCGGAAATAAAAATTGAATCAATGGGAATGCCAGACGTAAACAGCAAAACTTTCTTTAAATCGAAGTAGGATATTGATATCTTCCTCAGACTCAAATCTCAGATGTCCCATTTTCTTAGATATTAGTTACTAATGCTTTTTAGACAAATATCCTAATACAACTAGGGTTTTACTATTTATTTTTTTAAGTTTGAATTAAATTGCTATAACAAGATATTTAATTAAGCATAAAAGCATTTATCCTTATTCTTTCCAATCAATAACTTCATCTAAAACATACATGTAACCAATGAAATATAATATGGATGTATATTGTTGTGATGTTATACATTATTAAAATATTGTGGAATATCTGTGACTTTCTTTTTTAATAAAGCAAATATTTTGGAAAACTCAAGGCAAAGTCGGAAATTTCAAATACCAAAGTCAGAAGACACCGTGAACCATAAACTAGCATTTTAGTTTTTTTGGGTATTGTACAAAATATTAAAAAAATAGTAATAATATATTAATGGATCCTTTTATAGAACAAGTGGGGAGTAGGGTAGCTCAATGGCTGAGCACTGACTTCCAGAGCTCAAGGTTCCAGGTTTGAATCTGGCTGATGACTAGTAATTTTTCATCAATCGAGGTTCGACCCTGGGGCCTGGAGACCCTTCTGAGGCAAACTCAGCCTCTATAAAGTGGGTACACTTAATTAAATAATTAATTTAGGGGGAAAATCTGGCGGTTGAGCGTGATATCGGCCCGTCACCTCCCTGCACAACCGTTGGCCTTGTAACGGTACTTCCTCAAATTGTGCTGAACCCAACCCAACCCTTCATGGGTTGTTAGTGGTGAAGATAATTTTTTTTTTTTTTTATCGAAGAAATTCAAAAAGATCAACAAACATTAGAAAAAAATTCATCAGTTCAATTGATTTTAATACATACTCTATCCAATTTTCTGAGGTCCATAAAGTTAAAGAAATAATAAAAATCACAAATCATCTGTTTTTTAAACAAAAAGTGAGAAAATAAGATCTTAGTTTGCTCTGCTACTCACAATTTTATTTGATTTATTTATTTTTTCCAAACCATAATAAGAGCCATCGGTTTTTTCTTCCTTGAAAAAAATCTGGAAATTCGTGAAAGAAAAAACTGTAAATGTAAAAGATAAGCTGAGAAATGAAAGTGAATTTTGTTACTATTATTATTAATATAAAAAAAAAAAATAATTCATTTCATGCATTAATTTAATTAATTTTTGTTATTTATAGAGCCAAGATTTATTAGGCGAGGTGAAGAAAGGTAAACCTCATGAACTAATACGGTTGTATGAAGTGATTTTACAAAACTTGAATGAGATGCAACAGCTGAATGGCCTCGAAAACAATGATGATTTCCAAGCTGAGATGGATTCTACAATCACTGCCTACAAGGCCTTTAGGTACCATAATACCTTTTTATATTATAATATCTCACTTATCTGTTATAGTGAAAAATATACTTACTTAATTGGCATAAATTCAACCAAGCAGCCTTTGGCAACAATTTTTTAACAGTTAATTCATCACCCGTAGCCAAAAGAGCCGAATGGAACTTATATTTCACTATTATAGAACACACTATTTTATAATCTGATTTTGCAAGGTTGTAAACCGGTCTAACCTAAATTCTATGAAATACAAGTTTGAAGTTTGATTTACTGAAACTGTTTTTATAATAAATTAAACTTATCTTTTTTTTTTTCATAAATTTATATTTTTATAATTTAACTTTTGAAATTGGTTTAAAAAAAAATATTATACCTCTGATTTTATATAAAATATGCCATAATGTAGTTAGAACATTGTCACTAACAAAGTGAGTAGAAATGAAAGTTTCAAAAGTGTATCTGACAATTCCTCTTAAAACAAATAAAAAATTATCTCATTTAGCATTCCTACCTCTTCTAGGCGAGGAATGTTTTGCAATTCAAAATTTCTAATTTCAAGTTTTACTGATCATTGCATTCCATAGCCCACTGAGTCCAAAAAATGTATTTTTGACTTTTGTTCTGTAACTCGATTATCTCTTAAATGGATGGACTGATTTAGTTAACTGTGCTAAAATTGGACACCTTCTGCTGTACTGCATATGTTATTTCTGAAAAGTATGTTTTTTTGTAATCTTACATGCCAAAACTGCTCTAACGATTTAGAAAAAAACTTTCATAGTTTCTCATTAAAGATCGTCAACTTTTTGAATTTAGTATATAGGTTCATGTAGCCTTAATATTAATGCCCTTCAATGTGGCAGAATGTATTAATATTCAATAAAGAAAGTTAAAAAAAAAAAAAAAAGTATATAGGAATGTAAGGATTGAGGGCCAAGCCATTTAAGACTCTGTATCGAGGAGATGCTACATTCCTTTTAGAGCCTAAACAGCTCACTAATTTTCCTTCTTATATTCTCACATGCTATGGGCCCTAAAATTCTTCTCAGGATTGCCCTTTCAAACCTGTTTAGCAGTTTAATTCTTTAAAACAAAATATATATATATATATATACTGAAGTAGTGATTGAATTATTTGATACTCAAAAAAGATTGGTATTGGTGCTCGGTACTCAGAGTGGCATTTGCCCATCTCTGCCTAAGAATGCAATATCCAAACCCATCACGTGTTTATAGATTTTCAGGCTACATACAATAGTGCGAACGAGCACGGACTCTATAAAGTCTCATGTTTAATATGGAAGTTCCACCAAAGCTTGTAAGACTCATCCAGAAGACAAAGTAAGCAGTGCGGTGTCGAGTATGCATTAACAGTGAGTTCTCAGACTTACAGAGGTCTATAGTAGAGTGACAGTCTTGCATACCCTTTAATTTTGTTCTGGAGGGCATGGTAAGAGAGTAGGGTAGCGAATTGGGAAAAACAATTTACAATAATTCAGCTCAAATATTGGGCTTGTTGTTGATATTGATATCATTGGGAGAAATTTCAAACCTATGGCAGAGGTGTTTCAGAACCAGAGATGCAGATGCAAAAATGAGGCTTGAAGTCGACCAATAAAAAAAAAAAACACATGGTGACAAATCCACGAGGGATATACTTCTTTCCCATTTAAAAGTGGATGGGTATGCATATGAGAGAGTAAAGGTATTTATACACCTTGGCTCCTGAATAACTCAGAATAATGATGTTGGAGATGAAATTCAAAGAACAATTGTTACAGCTGACAAATGTTATTTTGAGCTTATGCAACTTGTGAAAAACAATATATTATCTCACACAATCATATAGTGTCTGTACAAAACACTAATTAGACAGGTGCTTACATATGGATCTGAGAGCTGGATGCTATCCAAGGCCCATGGAAATCAGCACCTCCAATTTGAAAGAAAAATACGGAAAAGAATTCTCAGGGTGATTTTCGAAACCGAATCAGCCTGGCGGATAAGGAAAAGTGCCAAGATCTCAAAGCTGTACAACTACTGTGATGTAGTTGATAATTCAAATGGCCTGAACATGTAGCCAGGATGAGTCCTGACTTAGTATCAAGAAGGCTCCTAAAAGAAGAAATCCACTCCACCAGGTGAGGGTGGCCCAAGCTACAATGGGTGGACGGAGTAACTATTCTGGGAATTCAGGACTGGAGAGTGGCTGTACTGAACTGAGATGAATGGTAGACTTGACTTCAAGTAGCCTTGAATCTTCATGGTAGTAGAGATAATATAAGAAGAAATATTATGCTAAGGTAAAATAATAATATTAAGAAGGACATAAAGTAGGAAACTTTCTAAATATTTATACACACAACATCTAATAAAAAGGTAATCTAATTACCACATAGAGATAGTTTTATAAATGTCATTATTTGGTATTAAAAAATTTTTAAAGGAGCAAAAAAAAAAATATATATATATATATATAGATATATAAAAAGTTGATTTCAACAATGGTCTGATTGTTGGCCAAAAAGTAGGAAATTTGAGTTTACTATTTTTTTTTTCAAATATCACATTTTTTGTCGAATAGGTGATATCTAAAAAAATATTTAATTTAAGTAATTAACAATTGCTTCACAGTAAACTAGACAAAATTACTTAATATGAAAGTAGAGATGGTCATTGTTAAAACCATTTAAAGTGAACAGTTCAGCAGTTAAAATAAGCCGGTTCGTTTTAAAAAAAAATCATAAATTATTTGCGATATTTATTTATTACATTCCAAGCCAAGTCAACTACAGATAACTCCTTTTTAGAAAAACTTCCTTGTTTAAACAGGTTTATGTTCATATTAATTAATTTGAGGTTTATTTGGAAAAAGTTGAGATTCACTTCAAGTTGTTAAAAGAAATGATGTGATATTATATCCTGTCATCTAAAAGTACCTGTGCTTTCACCAAAAACGCTATTTTTTTTGTTAATAAAATGTGTATTAAGGAAATTATGTTTATTATAATACATTCCAGGTCATGGAAAAACAAGAAATAAAAGCTTTGGGATAATTTATTGTATTCATTTTGGCTGAAAACGTAGGTATTTCTAGATGATAGGATATCAAATCATATAATTTTACATTCACAAAGCTTACCTGAGGTAAACACATTTAGTCATTATGGTCTAAGTTGACTGTATCTTTAATGTTTATCATTCAAATTAAGAATTGAAATTGAACTAAATATTTTTTTTTTTAGTCGTTGGGTTATATTTTTTACCAGCATAAAACTGTCATAATAGTTTTAACTTAAAATTTAATGTTTATAGATGTTATTATATTGGAGAGATATTGACGACAACTAAAAAGTTTCGTGAAGCACTTGCTCTGTACGATAAAGGCCTTAGATATTTGTCTGGCCTAAATTCTTCAAAGGTCCAAGCTGAAGTGAAAGGAGAGCTGGAGACTTTAGAAGTGAGGATAAAGATGTCTCGTTGTATATGCATAGCCCAAGGGGTCCTCCAGAACGAAGCGACTAAGGCAGCCGACTCCAGTGATAGTTCTGCTCCAAACATCCATCAGGATCCTAAGGCATTGATCAAGGTAGTCATATTTTTACTTATTAATATATCATAACTCTTACAGCCGTCACATATTATTTAATAAATAATAACAGACACTCCGACATTAGTAGATTGGGAATCCAGGAACCATCCATTCGAGAAACATGGCCAGCCTAGCGTAACCTTCCTATCTTAATAAACTTGTCCACCTCTTTGCAGTGCTACTGAAGTTCTCGATTTTTTCTTTTGCACCATACATTCCTCTTTCTAACTGGCCCAAAGATTTTTCAGCGGATCTTCTGTTCAAACGTAAGAAGTTTTCCTTCGTCTGACTTTGAGGTAGCTTCAGCTTCTGAACCATAGGTCAACACTGGCCTTATCAGCGCCTTAAATAGATGTATTTTTGTTTTATTGCCCAGAGACCTACTAATGTTTCGATAGGCTGAAGAAGCTATTGGTTGTGTGCAGTAATTCATCCTTTCCAGGCTGAGGTCATTGCTCGAATTTAATGCCATGCCTAGATAGTTGAACGATTCTACCTGTTGAAACTTATAGGATCCTGTTTCTAGGATGGCTCCTGGACTCACCCACCACCAACACACTGATATTTTCTTTTGTGTTCATTAACAGCGAGTCCCCAGCTCCTTTGCACCCTTCTCCAACACCAGAAAGGCCTCTTTTAGAGCACGCACTGATCTGGCTATGATGTCGAAATCATCTTCATAATCCAGAAGCTGGAAAATATTCTCCCGGGAGTTTGAATTCTCGAAGATCTTACTGCTTTCTCAGCTGCCAAATTGAATAGGTGACAGGTAAGGGCATCGCCCTATCTAATTCCTTTGTTGCCACCAAAAGATTATGATATATCTGTCCCAACATGTACCGCATACTTGGAATTCTTCATTGTCATCTTGACGAGATGTATTAACTTCCTTGTAATGTTTAAATCTTCCATGTTTTTTACAATTTTCTCCTATCCACACCATCATAGGTCATCAAAGTCAATGAAAAGGTGATGAGTTACAATCTTGTAGCCATGGCTCTTTTCTAGTATAATTCTGATAGAAAAAAGGTGTCCTGTAGTTAATCTTCCCTTTCTAAATCCAGCCTGGTAATTCTCTAGTTCTTTTTCTGTAAATAGGGCTAGCTTTTCAAAAAGTACATTTGAGAGGACTTTATATGTACAGGAAAGAAGGGTAGTACCTCTATAATTTTTCACTTAGTCTGTTCTCCTTTTTTATGTTAAGGGTCCTCCAGTCATCAGGTATCCTCCGATATAAGAAGAATAAGGAAGGCTCTATTGTTCCCTTTTTACTTTTTTCGCCGCCATTCTTCAAGAGCTCTGCCTTGAAACCATCCATGCCAGGGCCTTATTGTTTTTCAACTTTAAGATGGCTTTTTCAACATCTTCATCAGATGGCTCAATGTCTTCTATTTTGTCTTCCTCACTTGATCTGTCAGCATCCTGAGAGATATCTGATTGTTCTTTATTAAGAATGAGTCTAAAGTGTTTCGCCAATCTATCTAGTACATCATTCTTTTGGGTAAGAAGAGTTCCATGTTCTGCTCTGCATGATGTGATCCGAGGTTTGAAGATACCTCTTCTTTCATTAATCTTTTGAAGAATACAATACCCTAAGTTCGTTTAGTTGTCGAAGATTTTCAATTTCCTCAATTTTTTTCTTCACCCATAATTTTTCCTTTCTTTGATGGAGTCTATTTTCTCCCTTCTTCTCTGTTGATATTCTCTGACAGTTTGTTTTGTATATCAATGGGCCATCTTCCTGTATGCCTTATGCCTGTATGTTTTTATTATTCACTGCCTTAAAACATACCTCATTGTACCATGGAGTCCTCGGGAATTTGTTAAAATTCCAACTTGGGCTGCTGTATTTATGACAGATGATAGTCTTCCAATGATCCTCAACATCTTGTTTAGCATTCCTCATGTTGGTCAAGCTTTTCGTCAATGTTGTGCTGGTAGATTTTCTTCATTCTTAAATTTGCCAATATCTTACATTCTTTCCTTCTTCATGTTGATTATTAGTATACTACTGATCTGTAGGTTATCGTGGCTCTAATTTTGACAACGATAATGGTCTGTATCCATATATGCCCCTCTACATGATCTGACGCATAACAGGTTTGAATTATGGCATGTACCTGTCAGTAGATGATCAATCTGGTTGGTTTTGCGTCCATCAGGAGATTTCCAAGTTGTATGCTTGTTGGAGAAGAAAGTACTTGCAGTGATAAGACCATGTGAAGTAGTGAGACTGATCAGTCTTTGAATATTGTTATTGCTACGTTTGTAAAGAGTTCGGGGTGGTCCCAATACTGGTGTAGTGGGTTGGTAACACTCTTCTCTGCCAATCTTCACGTTAAAGTCTCCAAGCAAAATTTTTGCATCATGATTAAGGCAGTTTGCGAAGGCTCTATCAAGGCCGTCATAAAACTGTTCCTTTTCTTCATCTTCAGCTACTTCTGTTAGTCCATAGCAATTTATGAAGGTGTAGTTGAAGAATCTGCTGTTTTTTATAATTTTTCAGAGGAATAAACATATTTTTCTAATATCTTCAAATATATCAGTGAGAAGGATAGATACTAATGTTATGTATATATATTAGGATTTTTTAAATCTGTTTCAGGTGCCATTAATTGATAGGCTAGAAGTGTATTATCAAGATCCTAATCTTATGTCTAAAAAAGCAAATTTGATAAAACTGCCACCAGACCTTGAACTGCTGATGTGCAAACCTTTGTTCTTCGATGTTGCCCAGAATTATGTCAAATTTCCAAATATGGATGCAGAAAAGAAAGTTACTGAAAACCAAGGGCAACAGCCTGGCCAGGGTTTGACTGGATTTGTTAAAGGCCTTTGGGGTTGGGGTGCTACCAAGAAATAAGTTCATTGGTTTTTTTTTTATTTTTTTTTTCAATTATGATAATTAAAATTTATCTTCAAATTAAAATCCCGTATTCTTGTTTCAAATGTACCATAATTACATTAATTTAGTCGTTTATTGTTATGAGCTTATCAATTTTTTTAAAATGAGAGCATTATTTTTATTTCAGTTATTAGTAAATAAAATTTTCTTTATGATTATATTTTATAATTTTTTACTACATATCATACATTTTTTTTATATTATATAATTATTAATTTTTTAATTATTAGTGTGACATTACTTTTGATTTGTTTCTCCTCCTTTGGAAAATCTTATCCGTTTATATTTGGACATCTTACCATCTGAACATTCCTATCCTCCTATCAAATGTAAAATATTGTATAATAAAAATTGTGATTTTTGTTACAAATTAAAAAATTATCTATTACAATAATTTCTGTATTAGAACTATGTTCAACATAGATTACTACTTGTGAAAAAGTATCTTATGTATCTAATAGTTATTCAGAATATATTTGAGAAATCACTTGTAGTATAAATTTTGAAATAATAAAACTTTTATTAAGAAGTTATTTTATTTTTCTCCTAATTCTCTCTTTTTCTGTTAGGCAGTACAATTGTTTGCATGAGTGGTAAATTATTTATGTTTGCTTTACAACACACTGCTGTGAGTAAAACCTTTACAATTTCATCATGAGCTGTGCAGAGAGTGTCTACAAACAGGGAAAAGTCGTGGAATTTTCCTTAAAGTTTTGGTTAGCAAAACTAAAAATAAAATAAATAGAAAACAATAAAATTAAAAAACAAAAACTATGTACTGAAATAATTTTCTTCTTCCTCACTATCTGAGATAGAGAAACTTTGTGTTCATGTGGAAGGTTACATAAACATTTGTCTTGAGAATAAAACATTTTCACCTGCGATTTGCATTTTAGACTTGCAGGAACATATTTGGTTATATATCTGTCCCTTGTTAGGTTTATGTGACAGACATGTAACATTTACCACTTAAATCCGATTTTGGTTAAATATATAGAGACTGCAGAATGGTGAATAGATGCCCATATATTAACTTAAACAGCAAAACCATTTTGTTTAGTACACTTTACAAAAACAGCTTGTTTGTTTATCCTTTAGTTGTAAGTTACGGATTGGTAAAAAAATGTTCAAATAAGTATCAGTTTTATTAAATTATATCTCTTAATTGAATATAATTTAATTAATGAACATTAAGTAAAATTCCATGTCCTCAAAACATTAAATTAATTTATTAAAAAGTTTAAGTTTTATTTTTATAATGTCAATCCGCTTAAAATAAAATTGCTCTATTTACAGAATACATTATAATATATAATTTAATCTGTATCTTTCTCCTTGCAAACTGTTCTTTAAACAATTGCTTAAATAATGTAAAACAGAAAATGATTTATCTCCTAACTTCATAGCATTATCAGGATTTAATTTTGGCCTTAACCTTTTTTTCTCCTCCTGATTGCAGTAATAATCAGAATATTGCAGCAATTACAGGAGTAATAACACTGCCCTTCAATATTTGTTTTGCGTGTATCTTAGATGAAAACTTTCTCTTGGTGTGAGAAACTTGGATTTTCTGTGAGATTTCTTATATTAGCTACCGTTTTGCAGATACTTATACCCAGTATCAATAGGAAAAATTAAGTTATTGGAAGTTAAACTACTATTACAGTTATCACATTGTAGGCTTTAAAAGTGCTTTATTATTTGTGTAATACTTATACAACTCACAAAATATTAAATTACAACCTTTCACGGTAAGAACAGCCCTGTTGTACAGTTTATTTAGAACACTTCTTCTTTGATTGACGATTGTACAGATATTCTAAATTCCTCTTAACGTTCCAACAGTAGTCTGCAAGCATTGAAGTATCCCACTGACCTTGATATCTTCGTTCCATCGAGGATATATCTTGGTGAAATCGCTCACCATTTTCGTCACTTATAAATCTACAATTTTCGGGAAAGAAGTCCAAACGAGAGAAAAGTGAGTGATATGTTACAACCGAGATCTCAATACTTCACAAGGAGGGTTTGGATTAAGGCAGCATAATTGTACCCTCTTTTGTTACCCAAGAAACCATTAGCTAAAGCTGTAAATACTTCCCACGCTCCTCTTTCTTTACCCTAAAGAATATTAAAAAAATTCTCGTTCATTAAGAAGCTCACAGATTTGTGGACCAACAAATACACCCTCTTTAATCTTAGCTTCACTTAAGCGAAGAAATTTTCCTCTTAAGTACTTGAATGCTTCTCCTGATTGGTCCATTCCTTTGAAAACAAATTTCATGAGCCCTAACTTTATATGTAGTGGAGGCCAAATGATTTTTTTAGGGCCCACTGGATGACTGTAGAGAACATTATTTTTTGTCCAAGGGTTAGAACTTCTCTTGCTGATGTAATGAGATGCTCTGTCCCCATTGTTCCACACATATAAGAAACAACAGTATTTAGTATATTCCTGTTGTATGGCTAGAAGAATTGCCAAAACTTCCAGGTCCCCAAAGATTTGCCATTGGTAGTCCTGGTATTTGATGGATTTTAGAAGGGTTTCCATGTTTTGGTAAGTTTCCTTCATGTAGACAGCATGGTCAATAGATAGAGGGAAGTAAATTGCCATTGTGCAACAGAACTGCCTTGAGGGATAGCTTTGAAGAATCTATGAACAGCCTCCGCTCAGAAGGGTTGTGATTTAGATTTAATTATGTCATCGGACCTGTGACATCTCAACAGGCAACAAGGTTCTCATAATTTTTGAAAAAGGGGATCAAGTCTTTCTGATCAATTCTATGAATTTAAGTCTTTATAGCAGGGTTGTAAGAAGTTCCATTCCTTCTGTCTTGAACCTAAAAGTTCTACTTTCTCTTTGGGCAGATCTTGGTCCCAAATTAAGTCACTGAGTTCAGCTTGAGTAAGCAAGTGGGATTTTCGTTTTTCTTGTTCGAAAGAAAAATCAGAATCATCTCATGGGGTTTCTCCTAGAAGATTTTCCTCTTCGTTATTCTTGTCCTCATTCAAGTCATAGTGTTCAGGTATTGGTCGTGTATCAGAAGGAATACCAGGGTACTTCACTTCAGATTTCTTTTTCGAGACATCCCATGATGAAAAGGAGGTGCCATGCAAAAGTAGCAGTTGTCAGTGTGATTAGTAGGCTCCCTCCACACAATGCGAACAGCCAAGTGTATTGAACGACCTTTCTTGTTTAACCATTCTTAAGGTTAGGCTATATGTCATGCAGCAGATGTGAGGGGCCCACGGTTTAATTTAAATTGAAAATAGTATCGATTGAGCCATTTTTTACGACGAAGTTGACTATTTCAACTTAATGGGTGATAAATATGCAGGACGCAGCCTTTTTTTTAAAAAAAATATAATTTTTTTTTTTAAATACCGTTCTACCGTAGAACAGTCGACTAACTTCCTTCAATCAACATTTGATCAGCATTTTCCCTATTTTTCTCTTTTCGTTTAATAGGTTTTTTTTGGAATATTTTTCAGCTTTCAGGAGGGGGGAGGCGCTGGCTGGATCCGCTAGTGTGCTCCAACACATTCATAAATGACATGGCCACAACATAGATGCCTAAAAGCGTCCATAGAAGGTTGATGGGTTGGATGAGAGACCTGTTCACCTAACAATTAATGCAGAAATCACGCCAGGAATAGCCGCTGGGTACTGCTCCCCCTCACACTTCTGATATCATGTGATTCTATATCCTCAATTTTACTGCTTGTAATATTATTTGTTGACAGATGTGAACAAAGATTAAACCTGTACCGCTACATTATGTGTGCAGCATTATTCGGTGGGATTCCGAGAGTGTTTTAAAAGAATATGAGATAAAATTATTGGCAAACAGCTATGTAAAGTGTGTTCATTCAATCCGCTAAAAGATACGTAATTATTTTTGGAGCGGATGGCTTGACTGATTTTTAACTTTGATGGCTCAAATATATTTTTTTTCAATGTTCTCAAGGATTTTTCTTTTCTAAAAAGAAATTGAAAATATTATTAAGTAAAAAAATATTATTTTCCCAACTAAATATCTATTCATCCACGTTTAACTGTTTATTTAAGAACATATGCTCTTCTACTCTATCCTTTCTTAAGAACCTAGAGTCATGCATAATAATTTTAAGACTAATCAATTTTGTTACAAATAATGAATGCATTTTATATTTTAGTTCTTAAAATATAAAATACAAAAAAATTATTTTATTTTGAATTTTTAAAAATTTCATCTGTAATACTGTAGGAAGTGGATTAACTCAGTAAGAGGGCAAAGACTTCCAATGCTTAAGATCCAAGATTTGAATACTGCTGATGACTGATAAATTATTTATTCTTTTTCGTAGGCCGTGGATTAACTATGGCGTCGGGAGACTCTCCTGGGGCACACCTAGCCTACCCTTGAAAGTGAGTGCCCTTACTTAAATAATTAATTTAGGAGGAAAACCTAGTGGATGAGCTTGATCTCGGTGAAATCACCTTCTAGCAAAACCGTTGAGAAAGAAACAGTACTTCCTTACAAAGTAAATGAAGCCTTCATGGATGGTAGTGGGGCATGAAATATATAGTAAAGAAAAGTATTGCGATCCTTTAGTTAATAATCAAATTCTTTCATATTTTATATTTATCTATTTTTTATATCATAGATCAATATAAATTGGTTAATTGTTTCAAATGAAAAAAAATTAAAGGTACTTTAGGGGAAGATTATATTGAGAATTAGCAATTTAAGCCCTGTTGGAGGACATAAATGATAATAAATACAGACAAATTTGCGGGACTTATTTGCAATTAGGAGACCTAAAACGCGTATTTTCGATGAACATTTTCGAATCTCAAATTTTCATCGAAAATACGCGTTTTAGGTCCCCTAATTGCAAATAACCAAGTCCCGCAAATTTGTCTGTATTTATTATCATTTATGTCCTCCAACAGGGCTTAAATTGCTAATTCTCAATGTAATCTTCCCCTAAAGTACCTTTATTTTTTTTCATTTGAAACAATTAACCAATTCATATTGATCTATGATATAAAAAATAGATAAATATAAAATATGAAATAATTTGATTATTAACTAAAGGAGCTATAAGAGATCGTTACGGAGAATAGTTGTAATGGAGGAACCAAACGAATACGAGCCACCCGAGCTCGCTCGAAAGATTAGAACAGCATTCCTTACGTAACAAAAGCTTAATATGATACGGACCCTACAACATTATGTGCATATACATAAGCGGTTTTCATAAATACTATCGTGGGTATTATTTAATATTTAATTGTATAGATTACAGCGGTTTAAATATTAAAATTTGTATATATAAGAGTACTTAATATATACGAATATCCACAATGAAATATAATTAATATAGCGTCTATAATTACTTCCACTTTCCCTTTGTCTGAAAATAGTTATTTCTGCTAAGAGGGCGGTAAATAAAAATTTTGTGATGCGTTCACCGAACCAGATTTTTTTTATTTGTAATCCTGCTCGAGTTTGGTTTTATTGGGGGCATCTGAACCCATCAAAAAGTTAAAAATTTAGGAGCATTTTAAGAACATTTTTTCTTGGTTGCGTTAAGATACAATTTTGAATAATACACCATTACAAAGAAGATGAAATACTGAACATTTCTTTCACTTACAGCATATATGTTCGAATTTTAGCTTTTGAGATATTTTAATCCATATATTCACGAAAACTCGTTATCAGTTGGTTTTCGACAATATCTTTTTTCTTTTCGCCTGTCTAACATTAACCAAGCTTGTATTGACAAACTTTTGTGGAAAATTAAAAAAAATATATCATTCAGTTTAATCAGAGTTAGGCCGTATAGAAAAAAAAAATTAAACCTCCTTAACTTAAATGAACTGTTAATTTATTGAACAATAATAATAAAATAATTACAACCACAGGTAACAATTACAACACAAGATGTCATGGAAGCTGTTAGGAAACTGAAAAATTGGAGAACACATGGTCAACAGAGAGTCCAAAACGATTTAGGTGCTTGTAGGAATTGTTGGCTAATAGTTATCAAGATATACTGGATTGCAATCAGCGTCCTCCTACTGGTCCTCAAAAGGAGCAAGTTGGGCTACAAACTTAACATCAAAGACGATGAGACCACAATGAGTTACAGTTGGTATATGGATGGCCTCAAACTATATACGAAAAATGAACAGCAACTTCAGAACATGGTTAAAGCTGATTTATCCTTTACCAGTGATATAGGTATGTCATTCCGACTTGATAAATGCGCGGTGCTTCATATAAAAAAGGGAAGAAAGGTTAATACTCAGAACATTCTGATAAACGAAGAATGCCTCATTAAAGCACTAGAAGCACATCAATTATGTAAATATTTAGGCATGCAACAAAACCTTAAAATTGTCCGAAAGGACGCGCAACAACAGCTTCTGACCATGTTAAAAAAGAGATTATGACATGTACTCAGGTCTCAATTATCTGGGAAGCAAAAAATTAAGGCCATTAACACCAAGGTCATACCAGATCTAAGCTATAACATTGGTATATTACAGTGGTCCAATATCAGTCTACAGGAGATGGATCGTATAGTACGAACGACACTAAAAAAAAAACGGTCTCAACATCAAATATCCTCCAAGGCCCGCCTGTATTTATCTAGAAAGGAAGGAGTTCGCGGATTTCTAAATATAGAGGAAGCATGTCGCAAGCAGGAGTTGGCGCTACGTTGATATTTTCTACCTAAAACGACGAGGGATTACCTCACTATATCCAATATGAATTCAAGTCTAACGGCACTCAATTTGAATAAGGTCATAGATTTCACAGTTGTGTCAGAATGGATAAGCAAGGTACTATCTACATGGCAGATACTACAGCCAATTGAATGAAGCCTCTATAGACAAAGAAAGATCTGTGGAATGGTTAGCGGTAGGAAGGCTATTCTCTGAAGCAGAAGGCTTTGTAGTCTCCATTCAATATCACGTAATTGCCACTACATCATATAGGAGGCACCTTCTAAAAGACAATACAACATCTGATAGATATCGACTGTATTCAACGACGCTCGAATCAATTCAGCACAACACAACTGGATGTTCAGTGCTCGCTGTTACGGAGTATTTGCACAGGTACAATAATGTGGCGAAAATAATCTATCAGGATCTGGTGAAGAAACTTAATCTGTTGGATGAAAAGGTGCCATATTATAAATACAATACGATTAGACTACTTCAGAAAGGCTCCCTCAAGATGTATTCGGACGAATCTATTATAACGGATCATACTGTGGGTCACAACTGACCTGATATCCTTATTATAGATTTTGGAACAAAGAAGGCAAAGCTAATAGATGTCGCGATTCCGAATGATACAATATAAGCACAACCGTGGGAGAAAAGCTCCGTAAATACCAAGAATTAGCGATTGAAATAAAGGAATTGTACCATTGGGAAAGCGTATTGGTTACACTAATAATAATATCAACAAATGGTCTGGTCCTAAAATCAACGATGACAGGTACATACGGCTTAGAATTATCTCTTGGTAAGTTAAGAGAGGCCTAGCAAGCAGCTGTCCTGGATACAGCCAGAATCACAAGACAATTTTTAAATATCTAAATAAAATGAATATTTGATTCTTGTCCCCCATCTCCAGATTTGAGTCTGGAAAAGTGAGAATAATAAAGATTGGTGACCGAGAGAAAATATTCTTAAAATGCTCCTAAATTTTGAACTTTTTTATGGTCTCAAAGGTCTCTAAAACTTAAATCGACCTGTCAGACGAACATTTTCGTAATACCTAACAGGATTACTATTAGTCTGTAAGGTTGAAAATTTACTAAAAAACTACGGTTTTTCCGGCTCTGACTCCAAGCCTATTACATGTAAATAAGAATTATTCTTAGAATAGTTATATCAAACCTGAGGGGAAAAAATATACACATTTTACTTAATTATGCTGGGCTGTTTATTTCAATAAATACGAATGTTAAAAATCTTAATAAATAAATATTCATTAGCACACCAGACTAGATGCTTAGTATTCATGCTAATCTAAGTTTTAGGTAGCTTCTCATCAAACAAGCCAACATTTAATAAATAGCACAAAGAGCGGCAGCTTCATACTGGTGGTATAATTTATTTCATATGATTTACATTATAAACAATACATATATTATTCTTTATAAATATACATATATAAAATCTTTAAACTAATGGCCACAGTTTAACATCAAAACGTACAACTAATTAGTGAAAAGGCACGTTTTTATAATATTTAACACTTTGACAAAAGCAATATAAAAATAATTATTTATTAGTTCATGCTTAATTTGATAAATTAATCTAAAAGAACACACGATCACATTAAGGAAGCACTTGAGGGTACATTTCAATCGATATTTTCTCTTCTCCACCAGGGTATTCCACTTTCCTCCCTGAAAAAAAAATATCATTAGAAAGTAAATAATTGTAGTAAAAATAGTAATAGAAATAGTTCCATTGACCGTAGCATTGGTGGAGCGATCAGAGTGGTCGTCCTCGGCTCCTAATTAGATATGTTCGAAAAATATCCATATTTATAGACGATATTATTTATACCGATACATCTATATGTATATTTGGCTATCGAAAATAATATTTTTCCAGGGAAAAACTATATTGCAAAAGAACTGCGAAAAAACAAGAAATGCATAATTATTGCAAATAATATTTTGTGACATTACTTTACATCCGAAGCAGTTACGGATGTTGTGTCTGGTCATATTAAATATTTCTGATATATAACTGTCAGGAAATAATCAACCATTGTGAAATAATTTGCAGTGGTTTTTATGAGCTTTACGATTGGGATAAGATAGTAAATCGGAGGACGGATAATTGAGGTTCTAGTGTACCATCAAAAGCGGGACATTTATTTATCCCATGGTAATTCCTGGGGGCACCCGGACATATTGCCTAAAAGTTAGACTGTTCTGCATAAAACGGGACATCTGGTCACGTTAATTTTGTAGCTGTAATCAAGTCAACCGACGACCTCCATTTTCTTGTTGATGTATGGTATTGCATAGTTGGATTTCGTAATGTAGAAAGTTTAGGAGTGTTGTACAAACAATGACTCCAAAAATGTTATGAGTAATTTATGCATGTAAACATATACAACGAAGAGTAATACCACGATTCACTTCGACATAGGATTCTAATGATAGTTTCTACAATTCTCTTGGTAGAGATTAGCCTAAATAGTAACGCTTCATCATGACTGAACTGAAATATACATCACTAACGGGTTCAGGATTTAATTTGGGGGCGCTTCAGCCCAAAAAATTAATATATATATATATATATATATATATATATATATATATATATATATATATATATATATATCTATATATATATATATATATATATACATGCACACGAGTATACAACAGGAGTGTGTGTATTTGAAATTTTTCTTTGTATACAGAGGTCGATGGCTGAAGTTTTGTGTATACGTAATAAATACGGTTTGTGGTATTCCGATAGTTTTAATGAGTTTTTGAACTAATAAATATAATCGAAATTCACAAATGTGTTCTTTAAGGTTCAGCTTCATTAAAAATGAAATTCAAAAATGTTTTGTGATAACCCAATTTTAATCAAATAAAATCAGTCTCAAAATAGTAAGCGAAAGTTGTGTGGTGCTTAGATCAATTTTTGTCTAAATTATACTATCACTACATTATATTGTAAATTATAAAGCATATGAGTCATCCCACCAATTGATACGAAAGCGTGTTCCAAGGAGATTATGGCTCTAATATGAAATTTCTTGTGTAAAGACTGACATCGGTGTGGACTAGATAGACACTTTCTTGGAGTTCAATTATTTTTATATTTACGGATTAACTGTCAAATTGAAATCATATTATTGAAATCTATAAAAAAATAGGCACACCCACACAGTAAATCGCAATCGACCAGTAAAAAAAATTTCTAAATCTTTTCCGTGCTTATTCATGGAAAACTGCAAGAGATTCACGTCAAAATGAGGAAAACCTAATTTACATCTACCTTACGTTTTAATAATATCCAGTTAATATTTATTGCCATTGTTGGTGTCTCGTAATTTGCAGTGATATAGAATTGTCTCTCGTGGTTATTTTTCCTAGAAAGTATATTTGATTAATGTTATTTTTAATATATGTTTTGTGTCAGGGTTTCGATGCTTCAGTTTTTGATTTTGCTATCAGATGTATGAGAATACTTAATAAAACTTGAAGTTTATATATATATATATACACACACACACCCACACACATACATTTTCTTCCCTTGTTTACTTTATCAAAATGGAGTTTCGGGACGTAGAGTAGGGGGACAGCTAGTACGGTGATGTTGGAAGAAGAAGATGCTTAGAGCAGGACTAACAATTAGTACCTTGTTGAGGGACCGTTATCCAGTTGGCCCAACGAGCTGCCGGCCCAACCGCCCGCCCGCCCGTTCCTCCTCTCCTTCTCAACTCCAGACACTAAAGGGTTCAGGATTTAATTTTGGGAGCTTCAGCCCGAAAAATTGTATATATATATATATATATATATATATATATATTATATATATATATATATTATATATATATATATATATATATATATACAATTATTATTTCGGAAACATAAAGAAACTAACTACCTACATGAAATGGTGTTTAAATGATTCTTGACGTCCAATTACATAAAATTATATGAACCATAATACTTAGAGTTGATTAGAATTACAGATAAGTTTATAACACGTATTTCATAAGAGATGGTTATGTCTTACCATCTTAGGGGAGGTTCTTCAGCCTGAAAGCACCCCCATAAGACTTCAGTGTAGTCAAATAGCTCAATACCTCCAAGTCAGCGATAAGCTATCCAAAGTATGCATAGAATATGTGAAGTATATCATATAGAATATCATTTTACTCATTTGATTGTATTTTTAGTTGAAGCCCTCCTTATAATGAAAAAATGATTTTTTTTGTTTTTCATTGATCCATATTTGGAGTTTAAGTAATCTAAACTGAATACTTAAATAGTAACAATATGTTCTATTTTTTACAATTATAATGCATAATGCAGCTACTAAACATAACCAAAACTTATGAAAATAATAATAAAAAATTATATCTAAAAGCAGGAGTCTTAAGACTCATAAACTTTTAAAAATAAGTTTGATTTTAAAAGTATTCAGCAAACTTATGAAGAAAATGTTCGCGTAATAAAAGTTATTCCTGTACCTTTAAGATAAACATTTTTAATCAAAATGTTTAAGGTTCACCCAAACTATTTGAACAACTAAAATTAAAGTTTGAGTTTAACCACTTGCTTGCTCTTGGTTGGGATTATAGAAGTTGTTATAATAGAGAACGAGTGAGTGAATGTTTACACATACTGGTGTATATGTTATTCAAGTGATATTGTTCCTATCCTGGCATTTCACTCTCCTCAAATCAAAACGATTTCAATCATTATTACCTCTTTTCAGAACGCTTCGTTTTAGTTTTAGCTATTTCTTGTGATTAAACGCTATTCAGTGTGAATTACGATGGTGCATAAAAAAAGACAGATTCGTTCAGCGTTTCGGAAATCATAATATATTTACAAAATATTAAGAATTGTAAACTAAACAACAATGCATTTTCAATTTCGGCATTTCTAAAATTACAATTTTTTTTCATAAAAACCTTTTATGAATATAGTTATTTTAAAATAACTTTATAAAAAAAGTTATAATAATGAAAAAGTTCAAGTTAATAAAAACATTAGGAAAGATGAAAAAAATTATAAGTTTAACTTAAACTTTTTAAAATTAAAAGTTAAACTGGTACTTTTATTAAAATTTAATTTCTGTACAGCGTCAAATTAGAAAATATAGTAATATTTTTTATCCCTGTCTAGTAATATTAGTGTTCGTGTAACTACATTTTTCATAGGACTTCAAAAATCACTTGTATACACCATTTCATGTAGGCGGTTAGTTGCTTTTTCTTTCCAAGAAATTATCGTTACATATATCTGTAAAAAAAAAAAAAATTTGGGCTGAAGTCTCTTTCCAAAAAATCAAATCCTGGATGAGCTACTGATAAGAACCGCATGACTTTCCTAAACACATTCTTTTATTACAAGACAATAGCTACAAGTCCTTGAGTAGTGCGATTAATCAGATGTTTTAAAAGCACTTTAGCATAGACGTCAGTCGCTTTTATAGCATCCTTTTTTTCTAATGGGCCTTCAATTATTTCTACTGTTCTAAAATCAGGCATTTCAAATCAGAAATATATCAGAAAGGGACACACTCTAAAAATTCATCTTTAAAAAAAATTATTGTACTCATTAGGTTTCAAATAAAAATGTTTTATACATTACATTGCTTACAGTAAATTATCATTAATTTATCCTTCATAATTCTCATTTCATAGCTGTTCTTATGAAATATTCATAAAAAAAACTTAGTAATTATTGTAAATGGTGTTACAGTTAAAGAATGTTGCTTTTTTTGAGAGGAATTCCTAAGAGAGCATGAATGGAATGTTCTTTCACTTTCACATCTATACAATAAGAAAAGGCAGTTGTACATAGTTGGTCATCTTAATATTCTTCTTCGTTCATTCAGTAACCTAATATCTATCGGTGACACAGAGATGTTCTATAATCAGAAAAGAACCACAGGCTGTGAACTGCTGGAATTTCGGTTTAAATATTGCTGGACATAATAAAGGAGTTATTCTCCATCAGTAGTATGAAAAATATATAGGATTCAACATAGAAATGTTAGAATAAAAGACGTTCTCATAGCAGTTTCTGATTTCACTGACTAGCTCTTCGGATTCCGGACTAAATTTCGACCTTTCTGGGATAACGAAAATACCGAATATTTTAAAACAAACGAGGGCTGTTCCCTAAAAAACAAAATATAGTTGGAGAGGCAGAGCAGCAGAACAATAAGGGAGGCGGCCTTGTGGTTAAACGATGCAAAGGATTGGCAAAGAGGTGAGAGGAGGTTAGGAGGGGCCGACAAAAGAGTGGATGTTATTATGAACATCTTTATCTCCGCCATCAGCGCCTTTGATCCTTCCGCCGCTAACTAGCTCCCTCTCCCCCGACCTCCTTGGGCACAGCAGCCGTCTCGATGGTTCGACCACCGCTCTCCCAAAGTAACAAGGCCAGGCCTCATTAACAAATATCGACCATTGACTCAGATCAATCGTGTCCTATTCTACGAAAATATTGATTTTCAAAAATTGTTTAATAATTGTATTCCACTTTCACCTCTCAAACCGAATACCGAAATTTCCAAACCGAAAATTTGGTATTAATTACAATGCTTCCTTATCTTATAATTTATTATCTTGAAACATTTATAGGTATAAAATATATACTTCTTAAGTCTTCTAACATGACTTTTCTAACAGCTTGGGGTGAAAGTCCAATACAAACTCTAATTCTTCACTAATATTATCCCGTTTAATATTTTAATCATATTTCTAGATGGAATTGATAATGTTACATAAGCATTCTAAGTAGCGTTATATAATTCTTTAAAGGTTTTTGCAAATAAGCACTACTTTGAAGTTATAAACAAAAAACTACATGTGTCTTTTTACTTCCCTATCGCTGCAAGTTAATTAATGATAATGAAAATCATGTGTTTATCGCTATTAAAAGAAATTCTCCAAGAAATTAAAAGAAATTCAATGAATTGTATGAGCGTCAAATCAGGTCAATATGTGATCAATGGAAGGCAGCCTGTTTTCCAAGAGTGTTTGTAGCTTAGTTTTTCTTGTCATCTAAAGTTTAATACGTGTCCATAATTGGCCTAATGTGTTAGTAACTGTAATACCCCTGTAATCAGAGCATCAGTTTCGTATCTCTTTTTTGAAAACAGGTATTTTATGGCCTTCCGTCCATTCTTCTGGCTTTGTATAAACGCTGTCATAAGATCAGCAAGGCAATATTTCAATTAGCGGGGTCCATGCTTCATCAGCCCGATTGGAATATTCTCAGAGCCAATGAATGTTTAATTTTTCATTCTGTTCAGTGTTTTCCCTATTTATTTAATGTCTGATACTACTCCAATCACCTGTCATTGGCAATTCAATATTTTGAGCCAAGATGCGTTTCTCTATTGAAAACCGAGTGGAAATTGCGGACTTCTAAAATTGGAGAACAGCGATGTTCTTCAAAATTCTAAAACCGATGGTCCAAATCTAGTCATACAGTGAAACCATCGATGTTGTGCCGGTTTCGGGTGCCAATTAACAACGAAAATGATTTCAAGTTATGAAATTTAGTTTATTCTATACCAGTCACAGAATAACATAACTAATATTATGTGATCAAATGACAGGATCGATTCGTATGCGTCAGCCATTACTGGGTATAAAACCAATGTTTTATCTATGGACAGTAAACACACCAAAACATATGTAATAAGCTCACTACCTGCCCGAAAAAAAAACAACAATGGGTTTTTCAATAGTACATGGTGCCAAAACAGCTCTGGTGATTTTTAATAAAACAGCCTACTCTTCCCCTTTAAGTATAATGTATGGTACATCCCCGAGAAAAGGAAGAATAACAATTATAATATATATATATATATATATATATATATATATATATATATATATATATATATGTGTATCACTAGCGGATCCAACCGGGGGGACGCTAGAAAAAAATTCTAAAAAAGTTCCAACAAGTAGCTATTTAAAGAAAAGAGATACGTAGGGAAAATTCATCCTCATACACGAATTTCCCTAAAATAATAAAAAAAAAATATTATCGTGACCAGCAGTAGCAAATTCGGCCAGGGAGCGCACCCTCCCTTGTACGGTGGAACAAAATTCCGAAAAACGCCTATTTAAAGAAAAGAGAAATGTTGGGAAAATTCATTCTGATGCACGGTTTTCCTAATGTAATATTTTAAAAAAAATTATCGTAAATTCCAGCGGGCCCAAAAAAAAAAAAGTGACAATAACAACTGTTTAAAGAAAAGAGGATGTAGTTTTTTGGGCCGCTGTGAGATACGAAGGCTTGTGCTAATGACTCTGAAACTGAATGAAACTGAATCTTGCAGGTAAAATATATGATGGTGGAAAATATTCTTTCGAAAAACCTTTCATTCGAGCGCAAAAAAATACGGGTTTTCTCTAGGACCCATTTTTTATTCAGTTCCAATAGATCTGGACGCATTACAACCTCCAACCTCTTTAATGGACTTTATAATGTAAAGTGATAAATCAAACAAATATCTTTCATTCATCCGTTCATAATCTCCAAGGGAAGCCACGCTGCCCGTAATTCTCCCGGGTATGTGAGGCTCGTCAGTCTACTGGAAGCAACTCACTCCGACCGGGAGCAGGACTGATGACAATACCTAGAAGACCACATCTCGCAATCATAGATCTACAAAATCTGCAGCGCCAATAGAAAAAAGAAAATATCCATACACACATAAAGATATATATGTCAATAAAATAAATATTGGATACCTGAAGGAGGGAGGAGAGGGCTGGCTGAAGGACTGGCACTGGGCGGACGAGATGTCGCGCAATGGGATCTCTTCCCGCAGGGCCTGCCGGTGCGGCCGCCGGCGAGGGCGCGAGCGGGCCTGCACGGCGAGGAGCAGGGCGCTGACCAGGGCGGTGAGGCACCCGATGTAGGCCAGCGGGCCCGCGTCAGGGCCTGCCAGCAGTCCCGCCCCAGTCAGGATGCTACCGCTCACCACCCCACCTGCCAGCGCCACCTGTCGAAAGAATAAGTTCATGTAATTACACATCTATATTGTACAAAAACAAAAAAAAAAAAAATATATATAATTTAAGCAGCACAGCTTCACCACAAAGGCCGTTTTTCTTCATAATATTGGTTTGAAAATTTGATGAAAAGTGTTTTATTTATTTCTATATTAACACGGATCGATGAACTGGGCTAATTATTCGCCCGGGTCAGCTAGTTTTGAATAATTTTGTTGTATAATTTAGATCTGATCTTATTCAGTAAAAATTGAAATACATATATTAAATTGCTAAAAATACAATACAACAGTACTAAAATACAAACTTTACAATTGCCGGTGGAACTAGAAGAAAATCTCTAAAATTCCTTCAGAACCCAAAAGGAACATCTATAACACCAGCTCTATTCATGTACTAATATTAGAAACTCTAATTCTATAAAAGAATAGGCGATAGTAGCACGCATTTATTTTAACAGTAACACTGTGTACTATTCTTATTATTAGGATTTATGAAGGTCGTAAAAACAAAACTAAAATTAAAAAAAAAAATGAATTAAACTTTGATCATTTCTATTAAATTGTGGTTGTTAGTCATAAATGAATATGCTTACTTAATGAAATTTAAAAATTTCAAGGTGAACGAATTACAATGAAGTATTTATTTTTAAAATTTATCATTTGTTTGTACTTACAATCATTCATACAACCGCTGTGTTTATATAATCGAGCTTGAGCAAGTTATTAATTATTAATAATATTACCTTACTTGTGACAAAATGTAATATTATTCAATATAGGAAAATGTGTAGGGTCTGTCAAATCCTCCCACTCATACACAAACTCCCGAAAGAACGGATAGTTTTCCTCTTCAATCAGGCGGGGAAGTCTGCTTCTGTTGTGAGAGTAAAAGTGCCCGTTTTTTCTCATCAATCTTTCACGGTGTCCCTTCGTCGCGGCGCAGGATATCAAGATATGTCCATCAGGGAATCCGCAGGAAGAACATTGGGGGGGAGTCAATATCCTTTCCATGGTCTGCCAGTTTTGTCCCGAACTCTCCATGTCCAGTGAGAACCTGCGATATCCAAGTTATCAGGGAAGACTGATATTGCCTTCAAGCTTGCCTGCACGGTCGGGAAGAACTGAGTGTAGACCCTTCCGAACTTGTCACCCACCGTCTGTTCCACTGTTCAGTAGACTCCTCCCTGATAATCCTCCTCCACTGGTTTGAATTCTCGTCGATTCTCTAACGGAGACCCTCCTGTAGCGTCCAGCCCCTGTCTCTTAAAATGGAACTTTAATTAATTCCAGGATTCCTTAGGATTAATTCCAGGGGCATCACTCCGGCCAGCGCCTGCACCACTTAGTGGGATGGGTGGTAGCCATCAACCTCATCTGAGTCTGATTCAAAAGGCGGCTCCACACCAGGGATGCGTACCTCAGAACACGCAGCACGACTGTCTTGTAGATGACGCATGTATTCAGTGAAAGGATCACCCTAGTCCACAGATATTCAATCAATGTTGAACTTCGCCTCAAACCCGATGCTAGGTAGGTAACCTCCTCACCTAGATACTCTCCCCCCTCCGACTCTGAGTGAAGCCTTTCAACAAGATGGCTCGGATCTTCGCCGCCACCATCTTCATCCTCTGTCTTCCACACCATCCACTATGGTGGCGCACCAATCCCTCTCCTTCCGCCACCAATCTCGCCCTGTTGTTCGCTGCCACTATAACTGCCGAGTCGTCCACGTATGCTACGGCACCCAAGTAAGCTACCTCCAGTTCCCCCAGCAATTGGTCGAACCCCAACTTCCACATGGCCGGGTAAAGAACTGCGCCCTGCAGGCATCCTCTGTCAATATCACGCTGGACCTCATAGAAGGAACCCTTTATCTTAACTCTTCTGTGGTTGAGTACCACCTAATGAAAGAGTATACATTGCCACCATACACTATCAAAGGTGGAGGATATGTCAAACAGGACCAACATAACATACTTCTCCGCCCTGTCATCTACGTTCCTGCGTAGTTCCATTAGGGCATCTCCAGTGTCGCGCTCTTTTGTGAATCCGAACTGTCTCGGGTGAATAGTTGCTCAGGTACCGCAGGATTGGCGATAGATTCTTCACTATGAGGTGTTCCATTACTCATTACTCATTAAAAGGAGGTGGCATATGCGCCTGTAAGCCTTAATAACTCCTTGTCTTGGCCTCCTCTGTCATACAGCAGTCTAAGGTCGGTGACCTTCCATTGTGTTGTTTGGACAGGAAGTTCTTCTCTAGTCCAAACAACCATTCACATTTCTAATAATTCTTCTTCTATGTAGAATAATCCTCTTTAGGATCGTCGAGTCAATGGCGTCGAGTCCTGGAGCTCTTCCTATCTATCACCATCCGCAAGTCTCATTCGTCCCTTGGCGGGATAAACTCATTATCAGGCAGGTTCTGTTGCCCCTCGCAGGGCTTTATTTTTCTCGTTATCCTGAGATCTATTATACATGGGATACATCAAGTCAAGGTATCTTGTAAACCGATTCCTCCAAGGTGGCTGTTGGTCCTCCTTGCTATCTTACCGCCACCATTACTTGGGCCTGTCTGAGATTATCCATTGGCATCCTGTACGATATTCCACAGGGATCCTTCTCAGTTTCCGTTCTTATGAACTCTTTGCAGGATATCTTCTACTGTAACTGTATCTGTATCTGTTCTGGATGTCTCTGCATTCCTCCAGGAGTGCCGCCTTCCTCCTTAATACCTTTAAACTTTTAGTGGTGGGTTGTTCGAGAACTAAATCGAAAAAGTTGGGACCGGACAAGCTGAAGAATGACATTTTAAGGTTTAAAACTTAGTTATTACCTCGAGTTATTTAATTGTATTATTAATTTATATTAATTAACTATTAATTATTAACATATATTATTTAATTATATTATTCAAATACAGATAACATTTTCTTGTTTATTCACGGAGCCACATTTCTTGTATTTCTTTTGAAACGGAATACTTCGGAGAGCGTTAACACTTTCTGGGGAAATGACTTGCATGTGTTACTATGATTATTTTTATCAGATATATGTAAATATATGTGTGTCATAAGTATCGAAAAATAAATATTTGTAATAAATAATATTAAATATAAAATTATTCATGTTTCATTGCATAAATGTTAATCCCAATCATTATCATATTTTATACACATATATTTAAAAATTAAAAAATATATTTCTTCATTAAGTAAAAAAAAGAAGCCTATAATCTCTCAGGTAGCAGTGGATACTTAACCAGTCAACGTTTTAGCAGTTAATACATTACCAAGTCCAAAAAATATGTAAATAATAAGTAGTATATTTCGCTTCAACACCCGATTGCAAATTCAATAAAAAAGTTATTCATTACTTTTGGTTGGTTGTTCTCTTTTAAAGGCATTTGAAGTGAGATATGCTTCGGTTTACATCTATGTGTTCTTATGTTTCCAGGCTTGATGATGGGTGAATAGTTAAATATTGAATGGTTAGTTATTTGTTGTTAATTGAAAGAGTTAAAGCTTTGTTTTGGAATCATCTTATAGTAGTTAAAGATAGCGTACCTGTAGGAACCTGTGGCAGAAGGCTTCGAACAAGACGCAATGGCCTCCGCAGGGTAAGATCACAGTCTCCGTGGGCGAGCTCTGCGGGGTCACGGCCCTTGACGACGTGGCATGACCTGTCACAACGTCATCACTTCAGTTGTTATACACCAATACACCAAATCAGCAAAAGTACTTACCTCCATTCTTCAAAGTTAACAAGACATGTTACCGTCGGTAAAGTTAACAAGTCATGTTCTACAAATGTTTCATGACAAGAAGCATGATTGAAACTTTCAGTTGGCAACATGACTAACTCCAACTCCAACACTTTTTATTATTAATTTTAGTAATACTTATAGTGTCGAAATGTATACCTTTATTCACAGTTATATATTTCAACACTGCAATAATCTACTCTGGAATCAATTTACTCACTGTATATACATGTATTATAAATTTTGCTAAACTAGAAATATTACTAAAATGACAACTCAAAAATGTTGAAATTGGAGTTAATCATTATGTCAACTGAAAGATTCAATTCATGATTTGGAATATTAAAAAAAATAAGAATAAGAAAACTATAAATTTTTCCAACAAATGTATATAATATAAGTAGGTTTGGTTTGTCTTCTACAGTATTTGTTTTGAACTAGTGAGGGTCTTGAGTTGAGGCAACCATAGCAGATAAAAATATTTGATTTGATTTCTTAGATTTTGTTTTATTTTTTAAATATTAGAGTGCTACCAGTGGGTAGTTTCTCAACAAGCGTGTTTCATGTAATAATATTTCTCTGTACAAATTTACTTGATGTATTCATACTAATACAGTTGTAAATATCATAATAAAAGTTTAAAAAAAAAAAAAAATTTAAATAGATTAGTTTTATTTTGCTTTTGTACTTATCTTTTTATAAATTTATCTTTTTTTTTTTTTTTTGAAATAACAATTAGTAAATATGTTTATTTCTTATAAAAGTAATTTTTTTTGTATTAATAATAATACGATTTTTTTTAATATGGAAGAGAATATGGTGGAAGGAATCTTTCGCCTGATCAGAGAAAATTAAATGTTAAATACGTGATAAAAACAGATTTTCAGAACTCTTAATGTAAGGGATAGTTAATTATTTAAAATAAACCATATTAAAGTTACTTTAGAGAAAGACGCAAATGAATATTGGGCATTTAAGCCCTGTAAAGTGATATCAACGGGGATAAGAACTAAATGATATTAAAGAGAACTTAATTATACAATGATACACCGAGTTTAATCAAAATCGTTAGACCCGTTTTTGAGAAAATCGTAAAAATGTGTTTCCCCGTTGATATAAAGTGGCACTTCCGGTTTGTCGATTTAAACGAAAAAGTTGTGATCTTAAATACGTAATTTCAGTTTCGTACAACTTTTCGTTTTTGAGCTAGACTGTTCACGTAAACACACACCATTTTGCGAGACCTGGTTATTTGGACTCAGGGTACCCTAAAACGTGTATTTCCGTTGAAAACCCACATCCTCTTTTGGACCATTCATTGACTGGACTACTGAGTCAGTCGTAGTAACGATTACAGGAACGAATAGCCCGAGTTTTAAGCCTCCATAGTTATTACATTTCTATTGGACACGATAAAAGTCCTCAATACTTAACAATCTTCAATTAAAAACCTCATTGATGAACGAAAATATAGGTAACACAAAATTTATATTATTTATTGAACCCAAAAAATTTATCACAGAGAAATCTTTTCGAAAAACATCTAATTAGAACAGCGATACTGCTTTTCTTACTTTTCAGGATTGAAAGACAGTACTATCAATGCGGGCGAAAATTATTTTGGATTGGACAGGTGTGTTCTTAGGATTTTTGTCGTAGTTCCTCTTAACCTTAGGTATGCTGTGGATAGCTCGCCCAGAAGAATACGAGGCCGTAAAAGTATTGCACATTCCACCGGAAAGTATTAATCCTTCTCTATCCACACATCGATTTTCTGCAATTGGTTTGTTCCTTGAAAATACCACAAAATCATAAACTACTTGTTAAAAATAATACTTCGATAAGAATAGGAGAGGTGGTAGGGGATAGAGCCAAGTTAAGGCTACCTGGAATTCACCCTCAGTTCTAGCTTGATGTTTTTGTAGGCAAGATTCAGTTCCAATTTAATCTACATCTTGTAATTAATATATTTAAATTTTACTTTTATATATTTATTTCATATTATACAATATTTTTCATTGTATTAATTTTCCAAAAATAATACAGTAGAATTAAATTATTATAATTTGCTAATAAATTAAATATACGTATTTTAAATTAAAATAAGAAAAGGGTAAAGCAATACTAAATACATTATATTTACAATTTACGAATCAAAATATGCTTTTTTAAATAAAATATTAACTGTTTTTGTAGATTACATTACAAGGTATAAGGGTTGAAAACAGATACCTCAAAACTATGAATAATAAGGATGCATTTATATACGTAAATGTTAATTAAATTGAATACTTAAAAAAAAAGGTCACCTTCAATTTTAAATCATGGGAATTCATCATAGTAATTTCCATCCGATACAAATCTGTTCTATATGCACATTTTAGTCGAGGAGAATTAACTACGGTTGAGTAGGAGGTGGAGAACTGAGAAGAGAAATGGTTGAAGATTCTCGACTCGAGCGACCTTGAGCAGCTGCGAGGGGTCATCGTGGCGTCTTGAGTGCTCGGCGACGGGACCAAAAGAATATACAAGGTGGCCGGGCCAGACCCACCTACCGTGCACCCCCTCCCCTCCCTGTAAATTGTATATCCTTGTGTTCCTTGTAACTATTTATTAAAAAAAAACAATATTCCCACAAAAAAGAGTGAACCCCATTGTCCCAAAATGGCGTCCAAACATCGCGGACTCTAAATTTTATTTCGAAACCGGATTCACTGAATACATAATGGAACTAAGCGACAATAAAAGTTATTTTCGTGACCAGTTTTATAAATTGCATGGATTCTTTAAGGAGACTATAGTTACTGGAGGTTGCAATGCATCCAGATCTGTTGGAACTGAATAAAAACTGGATACGGTAGAAAAATCGTATTTTCTTGTACTCGAATAAAAGGTTGTTCGAAAGAATAAATAGAGTTCATTTCTAAAGTTTAGTTATAAATTAATTTTCCTCCACCACGTATTTCACCTGCGAGACTCAGTTCAGGGTCAGTAGGGACTAACTGGTCAGACACAAAATCTGGTCATGCGCTTAAGGGCGGAGAAGTTGATCCACAGCCTGGTGAGGTCACTTGATATGACAAACCGTAAGATTAATAAAAATGGTCATGATAATAAATTGTTTTAATATCACATGAGAAAATTCTTCATTGAAGATGAATTCTTCCAACATTTCTCTATCCTTTAAATAGCTGCTTTTTGAAATTTTTGTCCACCATTCAGACTGGGGGGAGTACATAAGTAAATATTACATATTTTTCCTATATTTCTCTTTTCTTTAAATAGCTGGTTTTTGGAACTTTTTTCGAAATTATTTTTTTCACCATCCAGGGAGGACGCGCAACCCGGTAGAAATCTCTATTGATGGTCACGATAGTTATTTTTTTATATTACATTAGAAAATTCGTCTATGAGGATGAATTTTCCCAATATTACTCTTTTCTTTCAATAGCTGCTTTTTGGAACTTTTTATCCACCATCCAACGAAGAGAGGGGCGCCCCCTCCCCGCTGAATCCGCCGATACTGGTCACGATTATAATTGTTTTTTATATCACATTAGAAAATTCATTATAGAGGAAGAATTTTTCCTATATTTTTCTTTTCTTTAAATAGCAGTTTTTTGGAACTTTTCTTTCGGAATTATTTGTCTACAATCTGGGGAGGGCGCAACCTTGGCAGAATTTGCTAGTGCTGGTCACGATAATAAATTACTTTTTATATTACATTAGGAAACTCGTCTATGAGGATAAATTTTTCCTATATTTTTCTTTTCTTTAAATAGCAGTTTTTTGGAACTTTTCTTTCAGAATTATTTGTCTACAATCTGAGGAGGGCGCAACCTTGGCAGAATTTGCTAGTGCTGGTCACGATAATAAATTACTTTTTATATTACATTAGGAAACTCGTCTATGAGGATAAATTTTTCCTATATTTTTCTTTTCTTTAAATAGCAGTTTTTGGAACTTTTCTTTCGGAATTATTTGTCTACAATCTGGGGAGGGCGCAACCTTGGCAGAATTTGCTAGTGCTGGTCACGATAATAAATTATTTTTTATATTACATTAGGAAACTCGTCTATGAGGATAAATTTTCCCTATATTTCTTTTTTCTTTAAAAAGCTGTTTTTTGAAACTTGAACTCCCAAAAGGAGGCGCACTCTTCCGCCTGGATCCGCTAGTGCTTACATATCATTTATCTTCATTTATTACCTTTACCGCCAACTAGTTTCAGAAATCTATATTATATATTTTTCCTTTTCTTAGCCCTGATGAAGACCTGAACCTGAGTCGAAATGTCGGCAAAAATAAAAATAAATATAATTTATTTATTTTGACCTTATTACTTGTCACTGAACACCCCAACTAACTTCTCTTCAGTAATTAAAATTAAGTATTAAATTATTTTGAAAATAAAATGAGAAGAATATTAAAACGTATAAATTGATTGATACGCTGATTTATAATTTCTTTTTAATTATTTATTTGAACCTTGCCGTGCCATTGAGGCAATACGGGTTTTGTAGAACTGGGTTGTTACACGCCACTGCATAACTGCCTGCTTCTGCAACGAAACCAATGTTAATATTTAGATTTACTGTTTATTGCCTTATTCCGCTCCTCCTTGCTCCGGCGGCCTCGCTGGCACGGTCTTCTTGTGAAGTTGAAGTGTGCGGATTGCTCGTACAAAATCCGTACGTGTAGTTTTCTCCCTAACTAGCTGAGGGAAATCAGTCTTTGTGAGAACATAGAGATCGGTTTCTAATTTGGCCCTTATCGACTCAAAGGCGGTGTAGTTTATGATAATGTGCTCAGCGGTCTCCGGGATTCCACAGCTAGGGCATAGAGGATCGACATGTTTTTCAAATCCTGTCTCGAAAGCCCCCATGCCCAATAAGGAATCGCGAGAGCCAGTAATCCGGGAGGACCCATTTGGCTTCCAACCGTGATTGAACGGTGGGGAAGTACTTCCTCAGATTGGCCCTTTTCGGGCTTCTCACCCACCGTTGATTCCACACTTTAATTGTATCCCGATTCTTCCTTTGATGTTTCCCGGTAGACCTGCTGAACCTTCGTTTTTATATATGTACCTCAACATATCTTCTCGCAGGAGGAGTTCGAGAGGCACTCCTCCCGCTCGTAACTACACTGCCTCATGAGAAACAGTTCTGTACGCTCAGGTGACTCGCAGCAGAGCCGCTCGCTGGATTGTCGCCAACTTGCTCTTCTGTCGGTGCGAGAGATTCCGATTTCTTTTAAATTAAAATAACAATAATAAAAGCGCCTGTTGTGTTGCAATTTTTGTAAGATATTTTTTTTTTCATCTTCCATGAGTACCCTCCGCTCCCAATTTCTGGATCCGCTAATGGCCCATGTGAGTTTGTGCAGTCACGTGATGTATCATTTCTAACGTTTTTCAAATAAATAATAATCGAAGTCATCATCAGGAGCCCATAGGAGACGCGCTTAAATCGCTGTTCAGGAGGCGAAATTTAGCTCTTTGGGTTGTAATACGTACCTACTCTTGATGAGTCTTAGAAAGCGCTTCCTACATCAGAGTAAGGGGCTGTACTCACTCCCCGATATTCTGATCTAGCTCGTCCGATACCTGTGAGAGAGCAAATTGTACAATTGTACGGCGGACATCTTGTTCGGTCTATAAGAATTGTTCTACACTAGATGTTTGTAACGAAATTTCAAAAGCTTCGGTGCCCTGGCTAAATGAATACTGATGGCGAAAGACGAACATTTCTTTGTACAGGTTATTAAATTAAGATTAAAACCACTTCAGTTTGTGAACTGTCTAATTGTATAATAATTGAAAACTTCAAAAATATTAAATATTGTATAATAATAATATACTGACTGCCTTGTGGTGGTAACCTGACGCTCTGGTGGGATGGCGGTAACAGGTGGGTCAGCAGCGGAGGTGGAGCAGGTCCTGGTGCCTGGCCCCAATACTTCTCCGCCTGAAAGTATTTTATCAACTATATACTGTATTATCTTATTTACCTACATACATAAACATATATTTAACTTATATATTTGTTATTAGGCTTTTGTTGTTTGTATCAGAATAAAGTTGCTATTCTAGTTCTATCCTATTCTATTTCTATCGTGTCCCTTAAATAGACGGAAATTTTAATAGGAATGATAGAGGATCTCATAAAAAAAAAGGTCATTCAAACAATAGGTCAATTTCCAGCAAAAAAGTTGGAAATCCAATTTTCGTGTTTTGTTTTTTAAGCATGCCATGTTTTTTTATGAATAGGCAGCGATAACAAAAGAAATGTTTAATTTAAGTAATTAACAACTGCTCCACTGTAAACTAGAGAAAATTTTCTTAAAATGAAAATAGATATAGTCATTGATAAAATCATTTAAAGAGAACTTTTGAGCTGCTAAACTAAGCTAAGTTCTGTTTTAAAAAAACATAAATTATTTGCGATTGTTTTTATCATCATCCAACTACACTACAGATATACACTTTTGGAAAAACTTCCTCGTTTAATAAAGTTTAAGTCAATATTAATTAAGTTGAGGTTTATCTGGAAAAAATTATGTAAAACAAATATGTGATTTTTTATACTGTTATCTAAAAGTACTCGTGTTTTTAGCAAAAATGACTACAAATAACTGTTACAAAGTTTTTATTTCTTGTTGTTTCATGATCTGAGATTTATTATAATAAACATAATTACCTAAACAAAAACTAGTGTTAAAAAAAAAAAACCGGCGCACCTTGAATTTTACATAAAACAATAGATTAAAGAAATATTAGTAAGCCTGGAGTAATATAAGGTATGTGAATAGCAGGATTTCTCATAAGGCAACACCAAATGAATATGATCCTCTCCTAAGGAGTTTCTAAAATTAGATGGTTAATTGTGTGGTCCCTTTATTATATAAATATCTGGATATGGTTTCCCTTACCTTGGTCTCTCCTTCTTTTGCAATGTTTTAGGAAAATTTTACATATCCATCAAATACTATATCTAGTGAGGATGATCTGATTGATCTTAAGTTTTTAATTATAAAAATTGATAGATCACTTTGAGGGAGAATATGCAGAAAAACGTCATCAACAATTGTATATTGAAAGAATGAGACACGAAGGCTAGGAGTAACCACATCAAATATTTTTTATTATAAAGAGATCACAAATTTTTAGACTATCTAATTTTAGAAATTCCTAAGGAAAGAGTCATTTCAAAGCCGAGTTTGTGAAATTTAATGCTGAAGACCGAAAAGCCCAAGAACGTCATCAGTAAATTGTGTAATCTTCATTTGTTGGTGGCTTATGAGGGACTTGCTATTCTTTAAAAAACAGATGCATAACTATGAAACTGAGATTGCTCCTATTTCAACGATAGATTGCTATCGACTTAGCCAAAGCCTTACCAGCTTTTCACCTTTAGACAGGGTCTGACTTCACATCTGCATCTTGGCGTAAAGGCCACTACAGTTTTTTTCTTTATTCAATGAACGTACGTTTATGAAAAAAAAAACTAAAGAATAATAGAAATATTTTCAAAACTCGGTTAATTTGAGAGGATTCCAGAAGAAAATATCTTGGAACTAGAAGAATATCTGCCTACTGTACGGACAAGGTTGCACAAATATAAATAGAGCTAGGGCAATTTCTTTCCTGAACAGATAACTTATATCGTATATTTAACGTGTTTGTGTATTAAATTATATTGAATATAATAGCGTTCATTAATTTTTTCTATTTAGGTAGTGAATGGATAATTTGTGAAAGTGATCACTCTCCACTCTGATTTGATGAGTTTCTATTGCCAGTGGAAACAAAAAACTTCGATGACATAAAAACTCAGGACGAAACTGAATATGAGATTGAAGTAGTAATTTTTGTAAAAGAATTTATAATAAATAGGTAATGTTATAGAAATGTTAACGTCGTTTTTGTTAATATAAACGTCATCTCTGTTGTTTCTTTATTGATTATTTTATACAACCTGGTGTACATAAACTGGTACATTACCGGCAAGAATTACGTGTGTATACGCTAATTTCTTTAGATGCTGCTTATCAGTCAATGATATAGATAACTATGTCATATATAATATATAAATAGATAACTAGCATTTTATGACATACAAAATAAAAAACTACATTTTCTTAACATATAGCATAGTTAATAGTTAAATACTAACATGGATTTGTGTGCCATTAATTTGTGATTTTCGTTTATCAGATTGACAAACATTTTTCATGAGCCTAATAGAGGCTGAAATAGGTAACGGAAAACTCTTGAACCAACGGATCCCAATTTCGTGTTATACTGCCCCACCCATAATAAGTGCTATGATCTCTAAAAGTTTCTAAATATTGGTCCGATTTTATTAAATCAGATTCCTAAAACACTGTTGTACACACTGTTGAGCTAAAAAAATATTTTTTTATACCGGTAGAAAGAAATAACGACAAAATTTAAGGTACGACGATTTTTATGATTGATAAAAAAAAAGTGAAAATAATGCTTTTTTAAATATGTTTCATGTAACTGTGTTTTCTCCCAGGTGTCTATGATAGCATTGATCAGTATTTATAAATTACAAAATTAATGTTTTTCGTCCCAATATTTACGGTTGAAATAAAGAAACCTGCTGATTGCTTCAACGATTTTCATGATAACGTAAATATTAGGATCAGGAACATTACGTTTATTACTTCCATTATACGATACGATTAATTCCAGACAGAGACCTGGGATAAAACACATTTTTATAACTACGTTACATAAAACATATTTGAATAAGTATTATTTTTACATTTTTTTATTAATAAAAAGGGTATAAAACAATTATGTTCATAATAATATATCCCAGATTATGGAAAAACAAGAATTAAAACCTTTGTAACAGTTATTTGTACTAATGGCATGCATTTTAACGTGACACATCACCTGTATTTTAGAAGTATGATGAACTAAAGAACTCAGTCGTATCAGAGATGCCTTTCGGGGATAACCACTTATAAAGGTGTAGTTCTAGCTTTTCTGAGGTAACCAGTATTCCCTAGGTGGAATGTGAATCTCTTGCATCGCCAAATGAGCAGAGGATGATGTGCTGAGAGTCACCAGGGCATACATGACAGTATCTCATGAAACAGTACAGGTTCTAGTAGGAAGATTACATCTCGACCTCCTGTTGCAAGAACACATGTTCAAGCATCAGATGTTGAGAGAAGGCTCGACAGGTTTTATGAAGAATCTCCGTGTGAGCATGAATCAAGAACTTGCCAGATGGAAAAGCATGTACAATCTTGACGAATGGAACTTGCGATGGTTAACGACTTCAAGAGGTGTCCCTGTAGTAAGTACTCTGAGTAAATATTTTCCTACCTTCGGTTCCGGCTAATAGTGAAACGGAAACCTGATTACTGGGTCTCCCGACTGCTGGTGGGCACGAGGGCTTCCGAGCAAAGCTAGTTAGGGCCAAACTGCTGGGGAAAGCAGGTCTCTATATTTCGACAAAGTGAGATTTCTATCAGTTAGTGATTGCTGAAGACTACCACCACATCAAGGAGCCAAAAAGTTTTTAGATTATTACAATTCAAATTTATATTCTTTATTTTTGCCCGGATATTTAGATTATTTACATCAATCGATTTCTTTTTTTTTTTCTACAGAATAAGAAAAAAAAATTTATTATGAAAAAATAAATTAGATTTGTTTTTATTGTCCTTTTCAACTCTTGAATATGAATTTTTATAAAAATCAAAATGCGACTACAAAATCCAACTGTATTGTCTACTGTCAACTATTTCTCTGGCATTGCTATTATTAATGTAAACGAGTAAAAATCACTAAATGGCAAAATTTAATGTTAAGTTATAACTGGATAAATTCCAAACATTACCATTACCTAACCTTTCATCTGTCCTGATGTTGCCTGAATTGTTGAAAGGGGATGGGTTGGATTTTTTAAAAATTATAACCTACCATTGTTATTATATTTTTTTTTTAATTTTAGCTCTCTTTAATTCATAACATTGATATTACCTGCAAGTATTGATGAGGTATGGCATGGTAGGTTTGGCTGCTGGCTGAGCTGGACACGGATTCCCCTCCACCACTCCAAGGATTTCTAAATTAAAGAAAAAACTTTAAAAATTCCTTAATGATATTTACAACTATATTAAAGAAATACATTTAATAAATGTGTACATATGGATATAATGACGTGAAAACACTTGTTGAGAAACTACCCAATGGTAGCACTCTAACATTTATAGAATTAGTTTCTAAAAAATTACAGTAGATTAACTCTTAATCCTAGTTCACACTAGTAGACATGCTGCACGATTTTGGTCTCGGAGACCTGTCTCCGTTTGTCTACGCAGACATGTTTATAGAGTAATCCCCCTCAACAGGCCTGTTGCGATACCAAATATCGCAGGTATAAATCTCCCGATCGGAATGAGAGACATTATGAAACGGTAGGCATGTTGCGCAACATTTAGACGTCAATCGGCGTCCAGAGGCGGGAAGTAGATATCCCGTCCTAGGGTTGGGATATCGAAAGCTATTTTATCAGGGATATATTACCATCGATAGAAATATCAGCCTATAACTACCAATACCGAACTTGAAATATCGATACTATCGATAACCAATATTTTCATCGATATTATAAAAAAGTTTTGGATAACCAGTTATTATGAAATATGAATATTTTAATTGATTCCCTAGCAAACAGGCTTATTTTTTTTTTGTCTGTCCTACCCTTCCTCGCCTTAAAAGCTACAAGGTGTTCTCTCGGGTCAGAGGGTGAGGGCGGGGTATTTATACTGAAATTAAATGCTCACCGGGACGTCAACTCGTAATTATTTTATCCGATTATCTTCTAATATCGGAAGAAAAAATATCTATATATCGATATTACCAACTATCGATGGCCATCCCTAACACGTCCCAGTCTGCCTTCAGCTTCCGAGTTGTGTAGTTCGGCTGTTAACAGTTATTTTCCAAAGTTTTACAGATATTTTGAAAATATGTGGTCTAAGGAGAAAGTTTTAAAACTAATTTAAGGTTACCATGTGTCTTGTTTGAGGGATGTTATGAATTCCGATTACAAAATGAGCATTTGTAGAGCTCTTGAGAGCATTTAATTCTATATAAAACAATGTCCTCTATGGTGGACTGCTAAGATGGGACTGAGATATTCATATTGTAATGTGGATGCTAGACAAGACAGAGAACTGTGTCTCTAGATTGTCTATGGATAAATCGCGCAACATGGTCTACTAGCGTATAATAGGCTTTATAGTCGAATGTCAAGTTATTTTCAAGTACATCAATAAAAAAGTTCCTTAGTTCATATAGTAAATATTCGTATACATCATACAAATTATAATGCCTCTATAGAGCGGATTAGCCGGACCTAAAAGCAGCGGTAAACACAACAGCGTATGATAATTAAAATTATATAGTTTGTTAAAAATTGAAATATCACATATCATTCAATGTTTAGTATTCACAAACACACATAAATATAGTATATATAGGCTCAGACTAGTTCGAGGGCCTAATCTGGGTATGTGGAGGCCCTGACATGTAGTAAATGGAAGTTATTTTTTTTATCTTCTAATCCTTTGGAAAAAATAAGACGAAGAAAAATAAATGACACAATCGAATAATTGAAAACGTTCAATCATACAACGACATTATCGGGAAATTTTACTGAGATAATTTGGGAACATATCGCTGATACAATGAAACAATCAAGCAACTTTAAAATTTTGGACAAACACTTCATTACGTCAGAATTGTGAGAAAAACCTGTTTAATGGAATCGACGTATAATATAATATAAGAACGTAGTATAATATAAGAACAATTTAATAGCTAGAAGAAATTTACACCGGTACAATCAATTTTAAAAATTATGTTATTTATATGATAATAGTTCTTATTGTTTTGTCTCTTCTATAAAATTGTAATAAAATAATTTATTTGATTTTATAATACGTTATAATTAGTTAAACTAGAGTCGTTTTACTTTTAACCAAGAAGCCTAAGAGTGAATAATTAATTTTAAACTGTGGTTTAAGTCGGTCTACAGACACATAAGCAACAGGGGATCGAAGGTGTCCTGGTCACGAAAAGCAATTGACTCAGCTCTCGTATCTCTCTTTCCAGCACAGCATGGTCAACTAAGATGACGCAGTAAAGCATAATTTAACTAACTACGTGGAGGGAGAACGAAATAATTGGGCGGTTAAGGGACGATGTACGGCTCGGAGAGCAAAGGTCTTAATAATCTACAAATTTTGGAAATGATGGAAAAATTACAAAAACACTATTGAAAATGATATAAATAGTCACTATAGAAAAATCTATAAATAAATCTTTTAATTTATGACCCCTTTGTTGAAACTTTTTTTGGGGATATTCAAATTGATAACGCGTATTAACTGTGGATGAGACGTTAAGCTGACTATGCGGTTGCATAGGGTCCCTACTTTTCTTGAACCGGACCTGGAGGTACTGCTAGAAAATGTGCTCCATGACTCAATGTGTGTATAAATGGAATTTTTTCAGCAAATTAATTATGATTTTTAAGTATATTATTTATAATCTAAATAGTAGCTCAAGAGATGAATTGATAGAAAAAAATATTTAAAAGATTTTATGTAAATAAATTTAAGAAACAGTTTTAATAGAAAAGTTCACTACTATAAATTTATAAACAATAAATAAATGAGTTAAAGAGATGGTTGACTGTAATAACGGAGATCCACTGACTATTTGCGTTTATAGATGTGAATCAAAACAAGCATTAGAATCATCTGCCATATCATTTTTTTTACACGCGTCTCTCCCCTTCTAACGCAAATAGAGCAACCAATTATTGTATAGCTATCCAAATATACCCAATCAACTAAAAATGTGCCATAGCCAATTCCTAATATTCAACCACAAAAACAAAGTACTTTGAACAGTAACAATACTCGGATCCCCCATGCGTGTCATGGAAATATCCCTAGTAAAGGCTATCAGCAACTTTCCACGGAAATATGGATCTGATTAGCACAAAATTTATAAAAGAATCAGGATTGAGGACTAGAATTACGAGGGAAAATACGGGTGTGGTGGTGGTAGCAAATGCAAATGTGTTTCAACCGAATTTTAACAGTGATGAATACTGCACTTATGCTAGCAAAAGAAGCCAACAGGTCGTCTATGAGATCAAGATACAGGCAAAAATAAGAAGGTCATGACTATCCATATTATGATAACCAACCAATTCGAAACCATTTCTGTCACGATTCCCCAACATATTTAAATCTTCAAGTTCTGCTGCAGAAGATCTCCTCACGGGTGAGATGGCTGATTGCGAACTAACATCCAATTGTTTAAATCTTATTCAATGTGGTTCCAATGCTCGTTCACTTAGATGGGGATACCGGTCGACAATCGCAACAGGTAGTCATCGGAGAGCTTATAAACAAAAACTCAACGGACCTAGATCCTAGTGGCGCAATATAAACACATAATAAATAAATTCATTTATAATTTAAAAACTACTCAAGAAATCAATTTGTGACCTATTTATTGGTTAACCAGGGTCAGGATTTTTATGCAGTAAAAACTCACAAATACTGTATAAATCATATTCCTATCCACATATATTATTACAGTGAGGCATATATTGAAATCGGTTTTGTACCAAATATAAGCTCCTGTCATGCTCAAATACCATGAATGGAGTGCCGTTGGATTCAGAATTTCACGAGGGGTTAGCGAATCGTATTCTCCACTTTTGTTTTTCTTTCTAAAATAAATAAAGTGAATACAAACATTTTGCTAGGCTTTAATACTGGAACGGCGGTAGGTCTGCAGATCGATACGGGACAAATTGGACCTTGAAGATTTTGATGCGTACAGCCAGACGTGTTTGCGTTTTTAAGTCCAAAAACGTAATATTTTCGAGATAACGCAAGACATAAGGCTCGCATTCACACAACCTTAAGTTAATTGAAGTACTGTCATTGAATACATGTCTCATTTCGTCGACTTGAGGCCTCTATGATCGAGAGAGGAGGAGTTTATATTATTTATCGATGGTATTTTTGATCGGCAAGCCATATCATCCTTAATTCTTCACCAAATCTCATGATTGAACCATTAATTTCGAAGGCTTCCTTATCCTTCAGGCGGACAAAATAGTCCAATCAACCTGAAAATTCAGGCAAACAAGTTATGAAAGAAAACAAGCTTTATTTGCGAATTACTAAAAAATTACACATTTTTCCTTCGGTTATGCCCATGCTTATATAAAAGATTACTAAAGTCCCTACAAAAGGAAAAAAAATCGGACAATTTTTAGCTAAGAATACAGCTTATTGAAATCTGTAAACATGTTGGTTCCAAACATTAATGAAGATTTAAATTAATTTTTGTTTTCTTTGTCGATTATATTTATCGATAAAGTGACAATTGATTACTTTATCTTTTGATGCGTCGCATTATTTTCTTTTCTTATTAATTTGGCATTTGAAAACAATATGCTGTGCGAATTTTTCGCACGGGCCTACTAGTATATAATGATATACAATCAAAAACCGTCAAATATGCAGTAATAAAATATGCAGCGGAAAAATATATAAATATACAATAAAACGTCTAAAATTCAGTTACACTAATGTGCCTAAGGAAACGTTTTGAAATAAATAAAAAAAATCTGGTGCGCGCAACACACAACTTTCATTTACCGCTCTACTTTGAATAGAAATTATATTCTGGCAATGCTGGGCTACTATAAAATTGTTTGAAGTGCATTTTAAACGGAGCTAAAGCTTAAAGCTTACAGATAAGTCATTAAGACCATTATAATTACAAAATGTCTATTTAATATATCGACGATATCAATAAAAATCTAGTCACTCCATCTGCTTTTATAAACCAACTAATTCCAATTTCAACATTTTTGAGTATTGTCATTTTAGTGATATTTTTAGTTGAAAAAGTTATCTATGCAGACAATAAGTAAGTTGATTCCGGAGGTGCTGATTGCAATGTTGAAATATGGAACTGAGAATAAAGGTATAAATTTAGATACTTATTTCTTATGAAAGATGTTCTTAGGAAAGATACTTTATTAAATATCTGAAGAAAAAATGTTTTTTTAGTCTCAACAATTAATAAAGTATATTTTAAATTTATCCAAATTTTCGCCTCTTCTAACTGTCCGATTTTAACGACATTTTTTTTGTTTTTTTATTAAATTCCATAAACTTTTAAAAAATCATATACAATTACCACAAAAAAGTGTATACTTTTTAAGTTATTCTGAATTTAATTTTACCATCCCTCGTAACTTTTTTTTCAGCTTCTTTTCGTTGAAATAGATAAATTTAAAAGGTGTCGAAAAAATGACTTTAGCAAAGTTTCGTGGAAATCAGTACATTCGTTTAGACGCTACAGTCTATAGCAACGCAGGTTTTCCCGCATTTTTATTTTTTTTTTCCTTTATTAACTTATCAAATTCTTTCAAAAGTTATATGTAGCATTTTTTCATAACTCTGAATAATGTGAAATGGTTAACTTTTTAAAATAAACCATATTAAAGGTACTTCAAAGGTAGACGTATATGAACATTGGGCATTTGAGCCCTGTAAGGTGACATCAAAGGTGATAAGATAGGGGACAACCACATTAGTGTAACTGATTTTTTCCGCTGCATATTTTATATTTTACTACTGCATATTTGACGGTTTTTGATTGAAAATCATTATATACTAAATGATATTAAAGACCACTTAATTATACAATGATGCACCGAGTTTAATCTAAATCGTTAGAACCCTTTTGAGAAAAATGTGTTTCAATTCCGTCACAAGAGTGTGGCACTTCCGGTTAGCCGATTTTAACAAAAAAGTTGCTGTTACATCTAAGGCCTATACCTATCTTAAATACGTAATATCAGTTTCGTAGGACTTTTCGTTTTTGAGGTAGACTGCTAACATACAGACACACAGACCATTTTTCGGGACATGGTCATTTCGACTCAGGGTACCTCAAAACGCGTATTTCCTTTGAAAACTCAGATTCAAAAATTTTCTCGATCGCAATAAGGGTAAGTATTGCGATCGAGAAAATTTTTGAGAAAATATTACATATATACGTAAGTGAAAGTAAAAAAAAGAAGCTAATTATGATAATATAACCTCTATAAGTCATTTTAATACAATTACCTTACAGCAGAGGAATGTGTGATTGGGAAAGGTCCATGCCTGCTCATACTGAGTCATCTCTCAATTTTCATAATCTGAAAAACAGACCAATCGTTTATACTTCATAGGGTTACTTCAGAAATATTTAAAATATATGTAAAAAAAGTGAAATATGCGACGCACCACACAAATGTTAATTACAGTTATATTTTATGTAAAGATTAAGAAAGGTAAGTTGATACTTAATAACTATTATGGGGACCTAATATATTAAAATAAAGTAAAGTTAGTAAATGTTATGTTAATTACTGTTTTTCCCGAGTCGCAACACTGCTGGAAATATTTTCGGCATCATTCACGTCTTCTCTCTCAATAGTACAATAAAATATTTTTTGTTACTAAAATGACTGCGGATGCTGTGCTTGATTTATCTCTCTATTATATCAAAAATATTTGAGTATAATATTAATAAAATATAGTTTTTTTTTTTTTTTTTTCCGATCCCTCTGAAACAAAACAAACCATGATATCAGTGTCATATCGGACCAGTGCACTAGCGGAACGATACAATAAAATATAGTAATTTACCGTTAAACATTTTATTTTACATATAAAAAAGTGGGACGGACCGTGAAGAATACACCACAAGTTTTATTCCGAGAATCATTTCTTTCTTATTATGTTTACAATTTGGCAATAAGAATAATTATAATCATATAATAACATAAATTGACAGAAAGGAAAGGATGTGTAATATAGATTTTTTTTTAATTAAAAATTTATTCGAACTGTGGTTTTGTTCCGTTTATTGTATATTGATAGAAAATATTACAATCTGTATTGTTAAATACATGTAAATTACAGTTATACAATTGTATAATTTGGAAAAAGGGGGTTGGTCCGCCGTTTTAAAGAGACCCCGAAAGCGAATAGATACATCTACGAAAAGCAAGTACTTTCTGGGTCTGAATGGTCGAATGCCATAAAACTAAACATTAATTATGCACCCCTGCGTGGAGTCCCAGGAGTCAGCGGACAGGTCAGCGAAGTTGGGTCCCTCAAAGAGAGTCTGAAACACCAGCCCATGTGCTGGGAAAATGCCCCAACAACTCCCTCCTCATAACACGTCGTCACCACCGGGTCAAGTTCGAGTTGATGAGGCTCCTTAGGGAAAAGAAATTCACCTGCTTTGACGAGGTATATTGCATCGATAGTGAAGGCTCTACGAGATACGCTGATATCGTCGCATTTCCCAAGACAGGAAGGACAGCGCTGATCTTGGATCCAACTGTCCGCTTTGAGAGCAATGACCTCGATCAGGCTGGTGAAGTGGAAAGGGAAAAGAAGAACACGTACGATAAATGTATCCCTTTCCTAAAAGAGAAATTCCGTGAGACCTTCGGAGAGAGAGAGTTCACCGTGAGAGGCCTCTGGTTTGGGTCTCGCGGAACTATCCCAAAAAGAACAAGGAGCTTCCTCGAGGAACTAGGTGTCGACATTAAGGACGTAGCGAGGTTGGCTGAAAATATAGTCCTCGACTCCCTGGGAATCATTCACCACCACGTGCATGGCTAGCCCGAGAGTTTTAATTTATGTATTTGTTTATTTATTTAGTGAATAATTGAAAACAATAGAGATAAAGAGAGAGAAGTGAGAGAAAGGGAAACTTAATGTTAAATAAAAAAAAAGCATGAGCAATGAAAAGAAGGAAAAAGGAAAAAAATAAAAATAAAAATAAATAAAATAATAAAAATGAATATATATATATATATATATATATATATTTTTTTTTTTACTAATATTAACTAATACTTCTGTATATTTATATATATGTTCATGTATTGTCTTAAGGATAGAAGAGTATGCTGTGTATATAGCAACCCAATATAATTGGGCAGCAATCCTTTATATTTTATGAAAATAAAGTGTTTCTCTCTTGGTCACAATAGGTTTTAGCAGAGTGATGTAGACAAGTTCCCAATTTTTAAGCTGAGAGGGAATTTGTAGTCCATGAGATGAGGCAGTTGTTTCCATCGGTTGGTAAGTTCTTGTTTTTATTATTTAATGTATATGTTCTTGACTTTTCATGAAACCTGATGAACTTAAATATCCCGCACGAAAAAACTAACATTGCTTAATTTGATGGCATTTATTTTAATTGTCATTTTTGTGGAACCACTTTTTAAGATCAGAGAGATCGTTTTAAAGAGCAATTGATTCGATAATTAGATTTTTCTGAGAAGGTATTAAAAGAAGCTAAAGATGGTGACGCGAAATGCTTAGGGATATCAAATGTTTAGCGAGAAAATAAGAGAGGACATAAAACATTTCCTAGTGGCACACCCGTAACTTAAATGAAGTAGGAAGAAATAGAAGAGTCAAAAGAAAGTAAGTGTAAGGAATGTGCTGTTTTATTTTCCACAGTAGACTCTATAATGTGCCAGATACTTTCAAATGCTTCCTCTATGTCAAAGAAAATCGCAGAATATAATTCCTCGAAAGCAACCGAGATTTCGACTATACGATAACACCGTTGAACGCTGAAGTTCGACCGAAAACAATAACAACGAAAAATTTATACCTTTATTCACAGTTTTTGTTTCAACACTGCTATCACCTACTCTGGAATCTGCTTACTCACTGTCACTAACTAAAGTATAACTTTTCCAACTGGAAATATAACTAAAATGAAATTATTCAAAAATTTTTAAATTGGAGTTGGTCATTCTGTCAACTGAAATGCTCTGAGACTGAAGTTAGAAGACTGAAGTAACGGTGGCAAGTTGAATGAGGTCTATAAACCTCTTATAACATGCGAAAATAATAAAAAGATAACATCTCAACGATGCAAACGCGAGTGGAAATTTTCGATTCTGAGCACAAAATTTTTTTTAACTTCTCGCACGAATACAATGCTTCCTTACCTTTGGTAGCGAGGAAGCAAATACAAACTATATAACCAATTATTTTACAACAGTAAACCAAAAACCTGCTGCGCGCAACACACAATTTTCATTTACCGCTCTACTTTGAATAGAAATTATGTTATGGCAATGTTGGGCTATTATAAATTTTTTAACAAATCATTAAGACCTTTAAAATTACACAAAGTCTATTAATTATATCGACGGTAGGCAATACAAATTTGGTGTGCACAACACACAACTTTCACTTACCGCTCAACTTTGATTAGAAATTATTTTGGCCATGTTGGGCTATTATAAAATTTTTGAATAGCATTTTTAACTAAGCTAAAGCTAAAAGATTACAGCTAAAAAATCATAAATACTATTAAAATAACAAAAGTCCTATTTATTATATCAGCAGTTGATTATGGATTATACGACCCGTTGATTATGGATTGTACGATCCGTTGATTATCGTATGTACGACTATTACTTTTCTTTTTTTTTTTTTTTTTTTTTGTCTATTAAATATGTATTTGCGCCTGTCAACAATAAGTTAACAATCAGCAAATGTGATGGCGATAATGATAAAATGACATGACAGGCATGGGGAAGGACTATTACTTATTAAACTATTATTTTCCATTGTAAATTTTACTAAAACGGAATTAAGAGATTTGCATTGTCTGTCACTGACAGGTCCAAAGTTGTCACACTAATTGTAAGTGGATTCTATTGGAATATTGCAAAGGGAAAATTTATCAAATTATTCACTAATTTCATTTTCGAAAGGTTACATAATGATTTTTCGGAATAAACGGACGATAGATACCTAATTATTTAAATATAATATCATATCTGGAGTTATTAAACAACAATAAATATATTTAACGTTATAAATGTATCCATGAAATGTTTTTGTATTTTACTTTTCACAAGAACAGTGAAATAGTATCTTAAACAATATCATTGTCTTGAATGCGTGGGTTTTAAATACTTTTTCAAACTTAAAAAAAAATTTTAAAGTTTATATTAAAGAAAATATCATTTAATTTCCTTGAAAACGCCTGATATACGTTAAATAATGTTAGTTTTTAGAAATTATTATATATATATATTTTTCGTCACTCTTCGTTACCTTCTACAACTTTCTATATTATGTATTGTTTTTTCAATTCTCTTTCCAATGATATTATACTTATACCTCCTGACTTCCGATGATTCATTTTCGATCTGGATAAGCATTTTTATTTTTTCTCCTTTATTCAATAAAGGATATATTATACGTATACCTTCTGACCATTATTTCCAAATATTCATTTTCAACCTGGATAAGTATTTTTCGTTTTTTCTCCTTTATTTAATCATCAGATACACAAATTTTCGATCTGGATAAGCATTTTTATTTTTTTCTCCTTTATTCAACTATCAAATTCTTTCAAAAGTCATATTTAGCATTTTTTCGTGACTTTGAATCATGAGAGATAGTTATTTATTTAAAATCTTAAAGCTGCTTTAGAGAAAGACGTATATGAACATTGGGCATTTAAGCCCTGTAAAGTGATATCAACGGCGATAAGACTTAAATTATATTAAAGACCACTTAATTATACAACGATACACCGAGTTCAATCAAAATCATGTGAGCTGTTTTTTGGGAAAATTGTAAAAATGTGTTTCGCCGTTGATATAAAGTGGCACTTCCGATTAGCCGATTTTAAGGAAAAAAGTTACTGTCACATCTAAGGTATATAGCTATCTTAAATACATAATATCAGTTTCGTAGGACTTTTCGTTTTTGAGATAGGCCGTTCACAGACACACAGACCATAGATCATTTTGCGAGACTTGGTTATTTGGACTCAGGGGACCTCGAAACGTGTATTTCCGTTGAAAACTCGATATTCGAAAACTTTCATGGTCATGGCAATATTTCCCCTTACTATATATTACATATATATGTAAGTGAAAGTAAAAACTGAGTGAAGATCGACTGGATGTCATTTGGAAACTTCAGAAACTCAATTCAAAATCAAACATCCTGAAAATACTTTCGGCTTTCTTCTTGAAACCCTTCTTTGGAAAACAAGATTTTAATAATTTAAGATTCGCTTGTAGATCAAGAAAGAATCTTTCCTGATTAATGAAAATATACTTTTTGTAATGCATATGAAGTTGAAAAAAAAAAT